TTGTTTTGAGTGTGAAATCATTGTCCGTGCACTAATGTTTCTAGAGAGATTAGGTAAGTATCTCTTCATAGAGTTCCAAATATTATGATCCCGCCACCACTTTCACTCAGTTAATTTTGTGCAATTGTCCCTCTTGATTCCTGATCTTTGACTTCACACTGCTAAAGCCGTAGATACTAATTGAAAGCAGAAAATATCAAATGCAAAGCATTGCCGGTGACTAATGTTTGGACAAACTGAGTTAGCAATCTTGAGGTCCCTACAAATACCGAGCTGCTAACCGTACAACAGCTGTCTGCAGATAATTGCTAATCTTCCACACTCTTTTTCACAAACACCACAGTGTCCCCAGGAGCAGGTTAACCTGATAATTGAGAGCCTGCAGTCTAAATTTGAACCATCCAATCGCGTAGTTGGAATTTTGGTTTTGATTGAGATCAGATTTTTATCTGTCAAAGGAAAAGTGAATTTTCAACCCCCACCCCCTCTAAACCCCCCAACCCCGCTAAAAGCCCCACCACCCTCCACCCTTCCTACCACCCAGGACAAAGTGTTGGGAGTTACAATATCGCCTGTGTAACTGACAGAAGACCTGAGTGGGCTGTCAGTGCCCCTCTTCACAGCTGAAATTGGCTGTGTAGGAACACGGTCACATTTGGCTGCTGAAGTGAAATGTGCAGCTCTTAAGAGGAGCCAGGTTCTTTAATTGGCATTGGCGTAGGAGTTAGTAAGATTGCGACAATCTACCAATTTAAACATCTATAATTGAAGCTCCAAGCGGCCCAGGTTTGCCTCGAGGGTGAAAGTGCTGCCCTTTCTCACACTGAGTCGAGCAGAGCACTGGTCCCCTGGGGTGATTCCTTGGCTGGGGCTGAATCATTCAAACTCTAACTGGAATAGTCCTCGAGTGTCGGTAAGCTTTTCGTCTGCAGTATGGGTGGGGGGAGGGGAACGATATCGCAGCTAACCCTGATCTTGCCTTCTTGCCCTCTATCAGGGGTGACTGGATGGTCGAGATCAGGAATCAAGAATCCTTGCATTAGGTACAGTGCCTTATCACGTCGTTAACATGTCTCAAAGGGCTCCCCAGAGTATACTGTAAAATGGACTGACTGTGCATTTTGTGGGTGAAACCAGACCCCTGGCTGACTTTCCCTTTCCTGCTAGGTCCTTGACAATTGGTAGAGTTGCCCTGGCTGGAAATATCTCTATTTCTTGATTTAGAAAATGGCTATTCTTCCCCCGCCCCCACCATGTCCCTTCCCTCCCTCGCCTTTCCCCCTCCCTCCCTCCTTCCAACAGGATTTGTGTGATATGTGCATTGGATTCTCACCCATCCCATTTGAGTCTGATGCACTGTTAGTAGAGAAGCTGTGATAGCAATAAGCAGTACTGACTGTACGACTGAACATTGTACCTGGAACGCGGGTGAATTTGAATGAGGTATTATTTATTACCTGTAGCTCACATTTGTCGTGACCTACAGCAGTGTGTAAGCACCCTGTTGAGTGTAGCACCTGAACAGGATCATTCTAGTAGATTCTAAACAGCTCAGATTTCCTTTGTGGCAGTGTTGGAGTTCGCAGCTGAAGCATTTGGCCTGAGAAAGCCCTCCAAGGCTAAAATTACTCCTGAGCAACATGTAGCGGCAAACCGCTTGGCTTTGTAACTGTGTAATAGCAGAAGTGAACATTGGTCTGATCCCTGGTGAATGTTAATGCTCAGATTACACTGCCATCTGCACAGTTCAGCGGGTAGCTCACGTTTAGTTAGTGAATGTGCATTCTCTCCAGTGTAACAGTGAGTGATGCAGAACTATTCTATTTTACCACGTGGAGGAATACAGTAGGAATGTAGTATTTCCCCAAAAATATCCTTTCTAAATGTACTGAATGAATGAAAGCCTTTTTCTCTCTTCCGTCCTCTCCCTGGTAATTCACCTGAGGTTAGCTAATGAAGCTCCTACCCCAACAGTAATTCCTGACGTAGTCAAGGCCAGGGCTCCAGTATAGGACTGGGGGTGGGGGTCTGCATCGTCAGGGGGGGACACCCTTTGTATGATGGATTAAACCAAGATTCCGTCCTGGCTATTATTGGAGGTCAAGAGGGATTATTGGAAGAGAAAGAGGAGTTGCTTGATGGAAGTTAGGGAAAGCATCAAATTAAAAGAAAAAGCCTATAAAACTGCCAGGAAAAGCAGCAAATCTGAAGATTGGGAGAGTTTTGGAAACCAGCAAAAAAAACTCATTAAGAGCAAGAAAAAGGAGTATGAGGGTAAGCTCGCTGGGAACATTAAGTCTGATTGTAAACGTTTTTACAAATATATTAAGACGAATAGGCTAGTGAGGGTAAATGTAGGTTCACTTCAGTCAGAGACGGGAGAAGTTGCAATGGGGGATAAAGACATGGCAGAGTCCCTAAATGGGTACTTTGCATTTGTCTTCACCCTAGAAGACACAACAAGTCTGCCAACAATAGAGATGTACCAAGGGGATAAGGACAGGGAGCAACTTGCATCCCAGGGTTTTAAAAGAGGTAGCGTATGAGATAGTGGAGGCCTTGTGTCTGATGTTCTGTCTGATAGGAAGATCGCAAATGTCACACCACTATTTAAAAAAGGTGGAAAGGAAAAGATGGGGAACTGTAGGCAGTTAGTCTCACATCAGTGATAGGAAAAATTTTAGAATCATTGATTAAGGATGTGGTAGTGCGGTATTTAGGTCACAATATAATTAGGTCAAGTCAACATGGCTTTACAAAAGGGAAGTCATGTTTGACAAATCTCATAGAATTTTTTGAGGATATTTTGAGTAAACTGGATAAGGGTGAATCAGTGGATGTGGTCTATTTGGACTTCCAGAAGGCATTCGATAAGGTGCCGCATAAAAGGTTAGTCCAATAGATAGGGGGCCATGGAATTGGGGGGAGCATATTAATGTGGATTGGGGAATGGTTAACGGGTAGGAAACAAAGAGTAGGGATAAACGGGTCCTTTTCAGATTGGCGGGATGTGTCTAGTGGAGTGCCACAAGGATCAGTCATTTCAGCTATTTACCATCTACATCAACGATCTTGATGAGGACAATGAAGTTAATAAATCTAAATTCACAGATGACACAAAACTAGGAGGAAGTGTCAACACCGAGGATGACATTAAAAAAATGCAGTGAGACATAGATAGGTTAGGTGATTGGGCAGGTAGGTGGCAGATGAAGTATAATGTAGGGAAGTGCGAAGTCATCCACCTCCGGAGCAAAAACAGTAGAGTGGGTTATTTTTTAGAAGGGGAGAGATTGGAATGTGTTAGCGTCCAGAGGGACTTGGGTGTCCTTGTACACCAAATACAGAAATTTAGTCTGCAGGTGCAGCAGCAATTAGGAAGGCGAACGGTATGTTAGCATTCATTATGAAAGGATTAGAGTATAAGAGTAGGGAAGTATTGCTGCAACTGTATAGGGCCCTGGTGAGACCACATCTGGAATACTGTGCCCAGTTTTGGTCTCCTCATTTAAGGAAGGATGTACTTGCCTTGGAGGGGGTGCAGCGTAGATTTACTCGGTTAGTACCAGGGATGAAGGGGATGAGTTACGAGGAGAGGCTGACCAATTTGGATCTATATTCTCTAGAATATAGAAGAATTAGAGAGGATCCTACAGGAACCTATAAGATCATCAAAGGGCATGATAGAGTAGATAGTGGGAGATTGTTTCCCCGGTTGGAGAAACTAAAACCAGGGGTCACAACCTTAAAATCAGAGGACAACCCTTTCGCACTGAGTTGAGGAAGAACTTCTTCACTCAAAGGGCTGTGAATGTATGGAACTCACTACCCCAAAGGGCTATTGACGCTTAGTCCTTGATCATATTCAAGACTGAGATAGATATGTTTCTTATTGCAAAAGGGATTAAGGGATATGGGGATAAGGCAGGGTCAGGTTATTATTATTACTGCATTTAGTTGTAAGTGAGTTCTGGTTACTGGAAGTCGCTTAGAGATATTGCAGCTATTTTTTCAGTGAATGTATTTTTTTTGAACCGTCAGTGCGAACCATAAAAATGTCCACATCACTGCAATTGCTTCCCAGGAACCTGCGTTGCATCTGCAGACGGAATTCTGAGTGATGTGCCCAGGGATGCTGGGATGAAGTCCGTCGGGATACATCACAGTGGCTGATGTATTTTTAAATAGTGGATGGTAGTGCTGGGAGCAATTTGAAGTGATAAATGAACACAAGAAGCACATTGGCTGAAGTGAAACGGCCTGTGGTGCAATGCTGGGGGGTTGCAAAGTGAAGCATACTTTTAACGTCACAAAGCTGTGATGGGCTTCTCTTCTCTCCTCTTCCTGCCCCCTCCCTGGTGCTCCAGTGCAATGAGTTCACACAATAGTTATAATTACTAGAGAAAGGTTTATATTAATTCATTATATTAATTATATATCAATTCTATAAATGCAAAGTCAAAGTGGGCTGGGAGTGAGGAGTGTGTATACGAGGTACATAGCGCCCTTCACGAAGGGTAGTATCTCAGAGCGCTTTTAAATGGTGGACGGTAATACTGGAAGACTCTTTTGACTCGTGGAGTATAAACAATGGCATGGAATAATTGGGCCAAATGGCCTGTTTCTGTGCTGCACGGGCTGGGTATTCTGTGTAAGTAATTCTAAGATTTCTCAGGCTTTGAAAGCAAAATTATACCAATAAAAGATGGGCAACGTTTAAAGGATTTAGCTTGTGTTCATTCTTGCACATCCAGAAGAACTTAAAACAAAGTCTCTCTCTGTACCGCAAACTCCATCAGCGTATGTGTTGCCACACAAGTCTTTTCCGTCTCTCTTTCTCCCCCTGCCCCTGCATCCCCCCACCTCGCACCTCACCCCACCGCCCCACAGTTCTGTACCAGCTGATAAACATGTCTCGTTTACCACGCACTTTATGCGAAGGCTATAAAATCCAATCGTTTACTAAAATTGTCCTCTTTTCCACTTTGGTGTTTCCTCAGGTCGTAACGAGTTGATAGCCAGGTACATAAAGCTCAGGACGGGAAAGACACGGACCCGGAAGCAGGTAACATTGCCTGGTGCTGGTCATGTGCATGTTAAGCCCTTTCAGATTGACGCCTGCCACGTGCTGCAGCTCCACTGAGCTGTTGCGCCCCATTTGGTGGCCTTTCTCCCGCCCTCTGCTCTGCTGTCACCACTGCAGTTACATCCACTTTATTGTTCTCAGATTTTCTCTCATTGATTCAGCTGTAATTACCCAGCGCTGGCGACCAGCAAACTTCTCTTTATGTGTGTGAAAAGCCGGGAGGGAGGGAGGGTTGCGATTTTAAGTTGACCATCCACGAGACTCCCAAACACTGGTCAGTGAGTATGTCTGGATAGTTGGCTTCAGCCTCCGGGGTGTGGAGCTGAGTTTTTGGTGCAGGGCAAAGGGGTGGCCACCCCCGCTGGGCAAGAGAAGTTCTTTGTGGTAGATTCTCAGGTTTTTTGCAAAAATGTTTCTGATGGGATTGCGAACCTACAATAGTCTGTAGATTTTGCTGGTGACGGGGCCCCTTTTGTATCAGCAGCAGTTCGATCGAGGGTTTGACTGGGTGTGCGATCTGGGGTTCAGTGGGAGCTGTGTCTGATTGTCGCTAGGGTGTGTGCGCACACACGGGTGAGAAGCCAGTCGAGGTGCGAGCGCCTGACCAAGGAAATTAATTACGCAATGAACACAGTACCGAACAATGTAGTGGACAGAATAGGTACCGATACTAGAGAGGGAGGTTGGTGTTAATTAATTATTGTAAATTATAATTATTCATTAAATTATAACCTATTCATTTTAAAAAGGGAATACTGCGCAGTGGAGGCTGTGTGGAATATAAACACTTTGAGGACTAGTTGGACCCAATGACCTACTCCCTTGCTGTATAGTCTGAAATTCAATGCAACTCTTAGTTTTTTGGGGGGGCTTTTAAAGCAAAATGATATGAATAAAAGATGGATAACATTTAAAGGATTTTTCTTTTGTTCATCCTCTCCCACATCAAGAGGAACTTTAAATACTAGCGCTAAATTATTGTTATTCCTTTTTTGGTAAGTTTCATGCTTTGGGAAGGTTTAGGACAGTAAGCCTTGTATTATGTGAGTTTGGAGGATTCTAAGTCTGACAAATTTCTATCCTTCTACAGCTGGTTTTTGCTTGCTTTTTTTGTTTGACAATTTTTAGTCTTTTTCTTCATATCTTTTTATTTTGGGCGATTTGGTCTTAGATCGGTGGACAAAATCTGATCAATAAAGTTTTCATGGGTAATACATACAACAGACCATTTACCAGTAGAAACAAATACTACACATGGTTTTAAGCCCATGCATTCAGACATATGTAATGATTTGCTTCTTCAAATATACAAATTTCATTACAAAAAAAATGACTTATTTAAGAGGAAATGTGTTCCATACATGAGGGAGAAGGGAATAGAGGGGAAGAGGAAGGATGGCGGCTTCTGTGGAGCATAAACACAGGCACAATCCAGTTCAGCCAATTGGCACATTTCCGTGCCATATCGCTCTGTATAATTCTATCAACTGATTCATAATCCACGTTGTATCAGTTTAATTGGGGGGGGGTGGGGAGCTGCTTAATTTCAAAACCTTGTTTAGAAGCTGCAGGTAAGTTTGGTTTGTTTACCAGAATTTGCATGTTATAGCATTAAACTTGGTGCTAATCCTAAACTGGAGACATCACTGTGAAGGCTGAGTCGAAGCTGACATTGTACGGCTGGAGGGGGGGTTGGGGGAAGTGGAGAAGATGGGTGGGGGGAGAAGGGGGGGGTAATGAAATCTCATCCTGTCTTGAATGTGTGTGGGCTTTTCCTGCATGAGTTTCTGCATATTACTTGCCTGCATTCGTAGCTTACACTCCAGACCAATTCATTGACTAATGTGTGGGAGGGGGTGGGGGCGGGAGAGAAAGTATTTATCTGGGGCTAAGGAGAAGGATGTGGTGTTGCAAGATCCAAAAGATGTCACAACTGTGTTGCTTTTTTTAAAAAAAATCTTAAACTTAAGTTTAATTTTAATTTTTTTTAAAAGAAGGTTATAATGAAGTGACTGTGGTGATGACAGCAGAGTTTATGTTCTCTCCCCTGTTCTGCGTTAGTGCTCAATGCATGTTGGGAACACACCAAGCCCTCACTCAGTGCTATCTCTATATAAGATGATTTTTTTAAAAAAAAAGGTGCAAATAATGTTTCCGGAGAGAGAGGGAATTATATATTTATATTTTTTTAAAAAGCGGGAAAAAAAATAACCAGAGACAGACATGTTTTTACATTTAATTTCCCTTTTTGTTTTTTTTTTATGGGTTGAACAATGTAGGTGTCTAGTCACATACAGGTGTTAGCAAGAAAGAAAGTTCGAGAAATCCAAGCCGCCATCAAGGTACGTCTGGCGCCCAGTTGCAAGGGGCTTTCATTTCCATGGTTACAGGCTTTTCCTTTGTTTTTCTCCCTTCCCCTACCCTGCAGGTGTCTAGTCACATTCAGGTTCTTGCCAGAAGGAAATCTCGTGAGATTCATTCCAAGCTAAAGGTATGCGCTTGTCTGCTTTGGGCTTGCTGTTGCTATGCTTCTTCTGACTTTCCTATTCCTATTGCTCCCTTCTTCCCCCACTCCCCTTACCCACCCCCCCCCTCGCCTTCCCCCCATCCCCTTTCCTCCCCCCTCCCTCCCGTGATACCCAGAATGCCATCGACTGTGATCCTCCAATCTCCCCTCTCACTTCTCGCATGCCACTCTCCGTGTCGCTCTAATTCCATGTTAACCCTCTGAGTACCCGACGCCTGGTTGAGAGAATAGCTTTTTATATTAAACAAAATTGGGTCCGATTTCTATTAAAAAAAAAGCCCGAATTTGTTCGGTGTCCACTGCTGGGTGGGGAGGGGGTGAGGAAGATTGTGACCTGGAAAATATTTCCAACATTATCACCCGTAAATGATGCCTCCTGTTTTGAACCGTGAGATTTATCAGAGTTTTTATTAAGTGCAAGGGGATGGGGATCTTACGAGATGTGCCTTGCAGAATGGATGTTGGGTTTGCAAAAACATGTCGAGGGCAAGATCGACGCTCTCATCACATCTATCAGCACTTCTGGCTTTTGCCACAACAGAAGAAGTGTTTGTTGGCAGCTGTTTCGGGGGCTGTAGGAGAGTAACCTGTTCCTGACCGAGCAGTGGACCAAATACTCAAAGGGTTAAAGAGAAATGGAATTCTCCTCCCAGATCTGTCCTAAATTGCATGGTACAGATAACAAGCTGACCTGATTGGAGGCTGACTGCTTGTTAAATATGTGAGGCATCTGGTTTTGTGAATCTAGCAAGAGCAGCATGCTGGCAAGTGTAATAGACAGCTGGTGGCTGGCTCCAGAGAGTGGCTGGCTTAACTGTGCAGCTCAGAGACCAGTGGGAATCGTGGCTTTCTGCAGGCTTCTATTATATATAAAACATATATACACACACACACATATATATATAATATATACACACACAATATTAAACTGGGATGCAGAGATCATTCCTTAAGCGATCCATCCATCCACTCGCTGACTTAAACAGCGACTATTTAGCAAAACGCACGCTGTAAATGGTCAGGTTAGGTTTGTGTTGCACCATCTAGTGGAGCAGAAACACATTTTCCCTTCACTCTCTTTACCCTCCCTCCCCCTCCCCTCCCTCTCTCTCCCCTCCCTCCTCCCCCTCTCTTCCCCCCCCTCTCCCCTCCTCTCCCCCCCCCCCCCCCCCCCCCCCGACAAGCCAGAAATGTTTGTCTCACAATTACGGTGATGCCAGAGCATTGGGCTTCCCCTTATTTTTCTCCGGCTCCTAATCCTCCTCTCCCCCACACACCTCTGCACCTCCTCTGCCCCCCTTTATCTTTACCTCCACTAACAGTCACCTATACTACATTGGGGAGAGTCGCTTGAGCCTTGCCCTTCTCCCTTCCCTCCCGGTCATCACATTAAACACATTGGAATTGTACTTTAACAAATTAGAGTATAGCAAATTTAGTGTCCTTATTTTGTTTAATTACTAAGATAAATGTTTTTGGAGTGAACTATTCTAGTTTATGTTTATTAGAGTTGTCATGGTTTGGAATGCACTGCCTGAAAGGGTGGTGGAAGCAGATTCAACAGTAGCTTTCAAAAGGGAATTGGATAGGTACTTAAAAAGGAAAAAAATGGAGAGCTATGGGGTAAGAGCGGAGGAGTGGGACTAGTTGGGGTAAAAGCGGGGAAGTGGGATTAGTTGGGGTAAAAGCGGGGGAGTGAGGGGAACTAGTTAGTAGCTCTTTCAAAGAGCTGGCACTGGCCCGATGGGCCAAATGGCCTCCTTCTGTGCTGTAAGGTTCTATGATTCTGTGATTTTGCAGTGGATCAGATTGAGCAGTGAAATAAACCAGCCTGGTTTGCCATTAGTTTCCTCTATTCACTACAGGGACAGTGGGAAGGGGCATTGTGATTACTCAATCTCATTGGCTGCGTAAAGGTAGGCCCAGATAGTGTGTGTTGAGGCGGGTGGAGGGTTGGAGACGTCTCACTGAGCCATAGAGGCAAGGGCACTCATGCATAAGGTCAGTTGAGGGTTCATATTACTTTTACTTTAACACTAAAAGAAAGTGTCCAGTTGTGAGGGAGAGATAAACGAGGGCTGACTGGGGAGATGAAGTAGTTTTATTATTACCTTGTGCTGGTGCTAACAGCTCCTGTCAGAGATGGTCTCATCTCACAAATGCCAGATGTTGGTCCCATACATTGCACCAGGCACTTTGTGCATTGTAAGTGTGCCATGCAGAGCAATAGAAACAGCTCGAGAGCGAGAGACGGGCAAAAATCTCAGCAAAGTGTTGCAAATGTATCAGGGGTGGGGGTAGAGCTTCAGCGAAATGGAATACAGTTAATTATTGAGGGCATTCCATTAACGGGGAGGGGATAGAGGGCAGAATGCAGTAAATCCTATTTGAAGTCCTTTGGAACATATTAGTGCGTTGCTCAGAATTAGATTTGGAAAGGAGGGGTGAGTGACTTGTAATAGATCACTTGTGGGCCCTGAAATAGCACGAGATTGAGAAGTAGGAGATGTACTTGTTGATCTGCGAGACGCTAGTCTGCCGAAAGGCGCTGTTGTTGTTCGAAGCGGCTTTGCCAAGCTGTCGAGAGCCTCCACTCTGAGGGCCATTCTCCACTCAGTAGTAGATGTGCTGGGGCAGGACACGTGGTGTAGGTCGGCTCATTGCAGCTTAAGATAACACACTGCCCAAGTTGGTCATTTACTGAGAGGCGAGGGATAATACCTGACTTGATGGTGTCGTGACCAGAAGAACACTGCCGACAGACAGGGAGTAACTGTGCGTTACCTGTGCTCCCATTAGTTAATATTTGGGGACCAGCTTGTTTTTTTCAAACAAGGAAACCAGTCCTTGTTCAGTGAACAGAATTCTTGTAGTTTCTCAAACCATTTTCACTCCAATCAAACTTTCTTTCTTTTGCCCCCCCTTTCCTCCCTCCTTTCCTTCCCCACCCCTCGCCTTACTCCCTCTCAGTTGCACACTTAAACATTCCAGTGTTGGACTGTAGCATTTTGATACCTACAAGTACAGCAAAAAGAAAAACTTATAAAGAATAAAGTAGGTCAGCTGAGATCTAAAATATCTCATTATCAATCCTGATCTGAAGCCCAAGAAAAAGTAGCTTTTCCTAAATCGCTGCGGGGGGAGGGATTGGGGGGGGGGGGGCCGGGGGGGGAGTGAGCATATAGTTCAGCTTTGAACGATGTGCCTCGGGCTCTTGTCTGCTTTCATTCTACACAGCGACAATGGTAAGAGACAGAGAATTTTACTCCTTTGATACTTTCACCCAATTATCACATGTACAAAATGCTCCCAAAACTTTCAACCGTGTTATTTATATAAAAAAATGGTTTTAATGATAACTTTTGTTTAAAAAAAAAGCTTTGTGGATGAGGTCTTCAGCATTTCGCCACACAATAAGGAGCATTAATTGATGCTCATTAGGCAGCATGTTGGGACAGCTATGAATGCACGATTTTTCATAGATATTGGCTGTTGCCTGGCTGACATAGCTGGCTTTTGTACTAACTGCTTTCTGCCTAATGAAAAGCAAATTAGAGAGCAGGCCTAGAGACACAAAAATACCAAGTTCTCCTCTCCCCCCCTCCCGCCCCCACACTTGTGTTCAGAACTGTTGTAACCCACTGCATTTTCTTCCCCTTAGAGCTGTTTGGCAAATTTGGAAGAGATATTATTTAGTACTGTTTCTTTTTTTAAAAAAAATTCAAGTTAGAGTGAGACATCTAAAGCATTATGGGTGTGTGTCAGGTTTTAACTGGTAAAAAAAGAAGTGTCTTTAAATATTTTTTGTGAGTAAATTTAAATACTTTATATAATAATGAGACTTTTTTTGCTAGAAAATGTATCACAGTAATATTATTTTAAAAAGAAAATGAAAAACTGTCCTGGGTTTTATTGGAATCAAATATTGTGTGAATTCTACGTGCGCAAGATTTAGAGTTTAAGAATGTGTAACCAAATTGTCAGTTTATTCCCCTAACCAATATCCATGTATTATTGTGTGTAATCTATTGTGAATATTTCCCCCCTCCCCCCTTGTGTCTCATAAGTACTACATAGCGATATGTAATGGAAAATCCCAGGTAATGACTGTTTTTTCAAGTATCTCTATTGGTGTAGCTCAGGGCTGAGAGAACGCTGTTTGCAAATGTCAGAGAGTTCGCTCAATCAATTGGAGATTGTTTAAGGCAACCACGAGTCCTGCAACTTTTACCAAACCGTTTTAATCCCAGTGTGTACCCAGTGGAATAGGATTCTGCCTTTCTGGCCAGCAGTCGCTATTTGGATGAATGACTTAAGAGAAATTAAATGGCCCTAAACAGCCCCACAGAGTAAAGCCAGTATTTGCCTAATGTTGCATTTTGAAGCTGTTTTGCTTTGAAGCCGGGGACTGAGAAAAACACAATGTGGACTACAATTTTTAGTTTTTTAAAGGAATAAAGAACGACCCTTTTAAATACATAAATAATCCTTGCATTTGATATAGCGCCTTATCACATCGCCAACACGTCTCAAAGTGCTTCACAGAATCTATTGTAAAGTGTAGTGACTGTGTATTTTGTGGGCGAAACGCTTCCAAACAGAAAAAATCCCTTCAATAGCGGTTAAGTCAAAGCAACACATTTATACTTTTGGTAGCAATTTTTTTTAAAAAAAGCACAAGTCTGAACTAAAACCAGAAATCCCCTGCAGACCAATAATTATCTGAAAGAAAATTCATCATTTTGTTTCTTGTCCACCGTTTCCACCATTTTTTAAAAAAAATTACAAAATAACCAAACAAGAGAGAATTTAATCAAACTGCAATCCTTTTATTTTAAGATAAATTCCTAGGTTTAAGTGTCTTTGTATTCTTCCTCCCGTCAGCCATCAAAATTGGATGTTTGGTCATTTTTTGGGTGATGAGGGGGTGGGGGAAGTCAGTCCTGAAATGTGGCATAAAAACAAACAGAAAAAAAAAGCACAAATCTGTACGCATGAGGCTTTTTGTCAGATTTGCTATTTTCTTTCTCATCCCTGTGTTTTTTTTTATTGTGCGTGACTGGGGTGCGTGCATGCGTTTGTGTGTTTGTGTGTGTGATGCGTGCATGTCAGTGTGTGTGTAAGTGTGTCAGGTGTGTGCGGGGGTTTGGGGTGGAGGGAGAAAGATAGTGCACGAGAGGAGGAAAGAACTGATTGTTTAGTAATGGAGTCATTTGTCATATGTAAATCAAAACAGTCGATAGCTGAATAAAAGCTTCTAAAACCTACAAAAGCAGTATTTTTCCCTTTTCGCACACCCCCCTCCCCCCCCGCCACCTTTTTTTTGTTCTCCAAAAGTAATTGAATTGGACATTTACAAGCTCTCTGCTGAGAATGATGTTTTACAAATGGTAACATATGGAGCGTCTGTGTCAGCTGTAAATGAGGGCAAGATAAGTAACGTCATTAAATTATCCTCCAAGAGATAAAATCCAGAACAGTTTACCGTGTTGTCTTTATTGCTGTAACTTGTAATGAATGCAATTTTAAGTTTTCTACCTTCCATAAACATTTTTAACTGTTTATTATTGCATCCAGGTAACACATATGGTAAGTATTTGAAAAGCCTTAATAATACTATTCTTTTAAACAAAAAAAATCAAATGTTGTACTGTGCTTGGCAGATATTCAATCAGCTTATGTTTTTTTGCAGCAGCTGCTGCTAATATTTTGTGGGGCTACTTTTGCGGAGCATTTGCTTGACTGCCTTTCTCAAGTGTTGCTCTGGGCTGTGGTATAATTACTGAGACCCGTCGGCAAACCTTGGCAGCCAGCATGCCTGCCTGCCTGTATGCATGCATGTGTGTTTGCTTGGCCTCACCTCCTCGCTTGACCCTGCAATAACCGGCTCATCTCACATTCCCGCATTAAAAACAATTCATCGCCAGTTCCCTTCCCTTCCAAAGTGACTGACCCATCCGTTCAAGTAAAACAGGAGCCCAGGAAAAAAAAATTTAAAAGTTTTTTTTATATAAAGAATACTCTCATCTGACTTTACTTGCAGTGCTTCTCGATTGCAGAGCAAAGCTAAATCAACCATTGCATTTGTTGATTGATTGATTGAATTGCTGCTCTGCTGAAATGGAAGCTTTACTTGGAAACTTTTAATCCCGTTTGAAGATCTGATGTCTACAAATGGTGCAGATTTTTGTCAATTGTATTATCTTAATATATATTTATATTTAAACTCTCTCATTCCTGTGAGCGACATCTCCCTGTGTGTGAGACGCGCTCCTTTGACACGATAGGCAGGTCAGCGGTTCTCGCTCAGCGTTGGCCCTTGGCTCATGTCTCTGTGTAGCACCTGTTGAGGGTCAACCTGAGGGTCCAGGTGATTTGATCACTTTGCTGTCCATGGCTTCTGGTGGGCTTGACCTCCTTCACAGCTCCCAACCCCCCGCTCCTCCACAACCCCATCACCCACCGACGTATTCAGAGCTTCATAAAGTGCTTGGTAACATTTGAAAGCAACAACAACAATTGATGTAGTGTCCCAGAGCGCTTGATCACACAGCATGGTTTGTCTGCCAACAGATATAAGTATGGCCAAGTCACGGTACAAACTTTTCGCAATGTGATATTGAATAATTTAATTGCAGCTCCGTAAACTCTTCTCCCCCCCGCATTATGTTGAGTAGATTGACATTTAAAATGAATTTAACGTTGAGAGTCAGATTAAGATGCCATGTGTCCCCTCGCACTGACACACACAGGTGCTCAACAATAACCTGTAGTCAGGACCCGTGTGGTAATTGGATATTTACCCTTGCGTTCTTTCTTATTTTAGTTTCTCAATTGCCCACCCGAGCATTCTGGCTTTCTCTGGCTTTGTGTACGACGTGAAATGTTTCAAACTTCTTGAAATCCTACACTTTTGGTTTTACAATATATATTTTTTTAATTTATTTTTAAAAAAAGAGGTGTTTTGCATCATCAATATCGCAAAGCACAAGCCCCAATTAAAACTCTGGATTGATTCCTAAACTGCTGATTTTTTTCCTAAAGAACGGAAAACTTTTTATTTTTGGCTTGCTTGCTTTTGGGGCGCCCGGGACTGTCTTGTCTGTACAATACAAGCTGATGAGAGCTAGACGTAGCTGCACAGACGCACTGCGACACTTCTTGATCAAGTGCGGTATTGAGGGTGTGTTGTGTTGTATTAAAGGATCAAGCTGTGAAGGACAAAGCACTTCAGAGTATGGCTGCAATGTCATCTGCACAGATCGTGTCGGCCACTGCCATCCAGCACAAGCTAGGCCTCCCAGGGATTCCCCGGCCAAGCTTTCCCGCAGCCGCTGGGGTGAGTTCAGTTTCAGTGAGGGGGAGTGTGGATGGTTCTTTACCCGTGTGTGTGAAGCCTCAGAGACCCAACTTATATTATTGGCGTTATTGGCTTCCTCAAATCTTGCTTGGATCAAATCAAAAGAGCAATAGTACTTGCATTTGACATAATTGCACCTTTCGTGCCGAGAGGACGTCTGCGAAGACAACAACTTGCATTTATACAGCGCCCTTCACAGTGGACAGCTTCTCAGAGCTCCAGACGTTCCCCTCTCCCCCCCACCACCCCACCCTTGGCATCATTGCTGTCTTGTTAACATCCCAACTTCAAAATACTCAATCACTGCATTACACAGTAAATCCTGCGAAGTGCTTTGAGACCCTCTCCCAACATGAAAGCCGATGTATCAGGTGCAAGAACCTTCTCTATTTTTGTCAACTTAATTTGATATCCTCGGGCGTAAGAATGAATTGTTTAGTTTGTTGAACTCTATTGTCGGAGGTGATTTATTTCTTCAACCACTTTTCTTTAATTTCCGCAGTTCTGGCATGGCGTGTTACCCACCGGTCAGCCAGGCTCCTCTCAAGAGTAAGTGAACCAAACCCAGAAATATTCATCCATTAAATCTTTGAGTAACTCCAAAAGCGGCTGTCCTTTTGTTCCTCCCGACCAAACCCAGAGAGGAGACAGGGAGCTCGTCTATTCAGCAGTGAACGATACAGCATAACAACAGTTTGAGTTTACAAAGCGCTGTTCACGTAACTGCAGGTCTATTTCGATCCAGAGTAGTTTAGTCACCATGACTGTGTTTTAGTTAGCACCTGACCAAGCCTATCTGCGAATTACTGAGTGGAGGAATGAATGATGGGCGGTTGGTTGCACTGATGAGCGTTATGTAATGGTGTTTTCTTTCCTTGCAGTGTGAAGCCCTTTGCTCAGCAGGCTTACCCAATCCAGCCAACAGTCCCAACACCCATTTCAGGTACGAAGCAGAACATGCCGTGACTCCGTTCAAACCCGTGACCCCCACCCCCTCGTATGCTATGAGAAGTGAAGTGCAGCATAAACTGGCTGTGACCTGTGAGGCCCCCCATCCTCCTCCCCGTCTTGTGTTGTGGCATCTAATGATTTCTTTTTAATGTTGACGTCCAGGTTATGAAACCACCGCTGCCCCCGCTCCCTCAGTGCCTGCGTGGCAAGGTCGCTCCATCGGGACATCAAAGCTTCGGCTTGTGGAATTCTCCGCGTTCCTCGAGCAGCAGAGAGACCCTGACTCGGTAGGTTTCAGCAAGCCGTTTGGGGTTTATTTAAAGCGTTTCTCCGAGATGCCCTCCCCACGTGAAGGCCGCTGTGTAAATCCAAGTTGTTGATGTTTTGGTGTCTGCAATTATAGTTTGCATGTTCCTCACGCCTGTAAAAGTGGCAGTAATTTCATGTGGGCCTTTTTCCTTTATTTTCCAGTACAACAAGCACCTCTTTGTGCACATTGGACAGACCAACCATTCCTACAGCGACCCTTTGCTAGAATCAGTAGATATTCGTCAGATCTACGATAAGTTCCCAGAAAAGAAAGGTGGCCTTAAAGAGCTGTATGGAAAAGGGCCTCATAATGCCTTTTTCCTCGTGAAATTCTGGGTAAGTGACTATGGTTTGTCATTGCTCAGCGATATAATGGCTCTTGGATTAACAATACAATACAGATTTACATCAATAAAGTACCTTTCACGTCAGGAGGACATCCCAAGGCACTAGGCCTTCTAGGATTTGAATCAGTGAGTCTGTCGTTGCACATTATTTCTGAGCTCAGGTGCAGTCAGTCTTTCTCAAATATTGGGGTTTCATTGTTTTTAGATGGTAGCATATTCCTTTGTAATGTTGGGTTCAATTGGTTTGTAATGAAAATTGAGATGTAACAGCACTGGATATCTTCAGATTGATCTGAATAATCACAGCTGTGAATATTTTTACTCTGAGTTTGCTTCAATAGGATTCAAGGTTTCTTGTAGATAAACAAGGTCATTGATCTCTGATATTGTCTTGGAGTATTCTGACCACGATAAATAGTAACTAACTTAATAACTGCTCATATCCATGGTGCAGTTTACTGTTAGCTAGAGTCTGAACAAAATTCTGATAGACAGGGTTTTCCAAGGGGACATGGATTGATTCTGAACCCTGAAATATGGTTTTGCACAGCAAATGTCAGCCTGGCTCAGTTAATAGCGTTCTCACCTCCTGAGTCAGATGGTTGTGGGTTCAAGCCCCACGTTGGGGCTTTGAGCTAGTTCAAGTGCGGTGTTGGGGGAGGTGCTGTCCAGTGCGGTGTTGGGGGAGGTGCTGTCCTTCGGATGAAAAATTAAACTGAGAACCCGTCGGTTAGTTCAGGCGGGCATTAAACATTCCGCAATTCGCAAAGAGAAGGGAGTTCCTGCCCACGATCTGTCTGGCAATCTTTCGTTTGGTCATTCACTTCACGTCTGTTTGTGGGAGGGACATTGCTGAACGTAAGTTGGCTGGTGAGTTTGCTTACAAAAGTGCACAATCACTATACTTTACAGTAAAAATCCCGAGAAAGCTCTTTGAGTCATTGCGACAACGTGATGAGGCAGTTTATCAAATGCAAGGATTATTATTACATTAAAAAAAGGTTGTGCAGTGTTTGTGGCAATGGTTTTTAAATTTTCCCTTATTGGATCCCCAACCACTTAGTTTTTGTTTTACAATCATCCAAGGGATAATTTTGGATTAAGCCCATGGTGTCGCCATGACCGGCAGTGTTTGTGTTTTGAAAACAAAGTATTCTGCGTTCTCTGCCCACAGGAAATGAATGCACTTTTTCTGGCCTTGGTAAAGGGGCCTGACAGCTAGGCCTTTCCCTGAGGTGCGATGTTTCCCAGCTATAAAGTGCTCCATCTCGTGGCCAAACCAAGACCCAGCCATTTCTTTTTGGTCAACAAACCGGTCCTGTCTTGTCAAACGTGGAAGCTTGTCACCGTGCTTCAGATTAGCCAAAACAAACAGATTTCCACGCATGCCACCTTACATGTGCTCGAGTTTGGAATGGAATGTGACCTCCTCTCCCTGGAGGGAAGTGGGCATTCCACTGTTCCTTCAGGAAGAAATGAGATAGATTTCTGTTAGGAAATGGCATGAAAGCGAGTGTCAGGATGGTGGGAGGCGAACTGGGCGGACCTTGGTCTTTTGTCTAGCAATTCTTACGTTCTTATGGATGGATACCTCCTGCTAACCTAATCGCAGGGAGTGTTAGGTAACAGGTAAATAGTTTCCATGATTAGGTAAGAAGGTGGCTCAGGGAGAGATTATGCAAAACTTCCGATGTAGGGAAGTCCAGTCCAAGTTACAGTCCAGGGTTAGGTTTGAGCTCTGGTCTGCTGAGCCAGGGATGAGGTTTGACTTACATTTCTGGGGGGGTGGGGTGTAGAATTTTTAAAAACACTCTTGCTGTCTCCTAACCACTTACTCTCCTCTCCCACTCATTTCAGACTAGATTTTTTAGACTAACTTTAATAAGAAAATCGCCAGCTGTGCAAACCTGCAGGGTAATCTTACAAAACCTGTGTCGTCAGGAAGCTTGGATTTTCACTTGGGTGAAGAATTGACGCCGAAGGAGATAAAAGTGTTATTTGGTGTGTGGGGTGGGGGGGGGGGCTGGGGGCAGAAGAGGAAGGATGCAGATGTTCCTGGTGAGATTTGACAGTAACATGAAATAAAGCTTGTGAACAATGGGAATTTGTTTGCTCTTTCACAGATAAAGGTCTGAATAGGATCTAGGTTTGGCCGGCTTTGTATAATTTCTTTTCTATCTTCAAGCTTTTGTTGTTTTATACATGCCTGCTTAAGATGAACATGTTAAAGCAAGATAATTGCTTTACTCTGGGTGTGTTTTTCTGCGATGTTGAGCATGAATGAGCACTTAGAAATTCTGCTCAATATATTGAGCTGGAGCTTGAAACGTAAGCAAAGCAAAATACTTCACGTGAGTAAAGTACATTATCAGAATAAGCTTTCAAGGTGTTTTTTGAAGTTGGGTTTCAAAAGAGGGAGAAGAGAGAAAGAGAAAACTGGTACAGAATAACGTGTGTGTGTCTGTCTGTCAATACAGGCTGCTAGTAATTAGAATATGCAATGATGAGTTCCTGGGCCCGTTTCGCTTCACAATGGGCTCCAGTTCCATCCATTGCAAGGACTTTCAGATCACAAACAAGGCAGCCAATTTGCACACAGCAATGTCCAACAAACTGCCATGATGTGAATAACCATTTTTTATCTGGGGGATTGTTGGCCAAGGCACCAGAAGAGAAAAACTCCCATCCGAACATGCCCCTCCCCACCCCCACCTGCCTAACAATCACTGGGACATCCAGCCTGGACTATTTGAGCTCCAATGTGCTTTGTTCTACATCCTTCTGACTCGGAGGCAAAATTGCTATTGACCGAACTGGACTGACTTCTGACACTTTAAAACAAGTGCCATTATATTTCCATTCCCCAGTGGAAGCCAGATCACATTAATTCTTTCCTTCCCATTCTTGCTCAGCCTACCAATAGCACAAAGGTGCTGGGTCTGAGCAGGAGACTGTGCAGGGGTGAGGGTGGTGAGGTTTCTTGAAGGAATAGGAGCTATTTGTTTCTATTAGAGAATAAAGCCATTGTTAAGGACCTTATTTCGAAATATTCCATTTTGCTCCAATCCATGTATCCCACCGTGGCCTGGGTTGATTGTGCCTGGCATGAGCGCTATGCAGTAATTACCTTCAAGTTGTTGTTTCCCAGACGTTGTACTCACCAAAGCAGATTGACGCATCAAGTTCCAGTTGAGAAAGCGAATGTTTTGTGTGTTTTTTCAAAAAAAAAGGGTTAAATATAATTATTTGAACTTCCTGCTGGCAGATTGCCATTGTCTGATATTTTTAATGTAATTAGCGCCAGCTGCGTTACATTACTTTTTCTTTTCAATTCTGGAGGGCTATCGTGCACTGAACACTGCATGGTAGCTGAAATAGATGCTGTTTGATGTTTGGGTTTTTGCAATAATTCAAAGGAAATTTCCCTTTCAAATGAATGGACTAGGTGTATGGAGAAGAAGTGTGACTTTCATTTAATTATAGGATTAGGTACAAAGGCAGTCTTAACAAAGCCCCAGCTGATGGTGGTGGTGGTGGGGTGGGTGGGGGAAATGGGGTTGGGGGGTGGGGGTGTTGGTATCGTAGTGTTCAGAGCTTGGAAGCTGGGGCCTAATTTACATTGCACTATAAACAAATGATTCAACAGCATTATCGTGCTGTTGAGAAGTCTATGTAAAGTGTAGTCACTGTATATTTGTAGCCCGGTTGTGCAATGTCCAAGAAAATGGCCGGCAAGTGAATGAATGGCCAGATGTTTGGGGTGAGGTGCCATCCTACGGATGAGATGCTAAACCTGTTCAGGCACTGTTCGAAATGAGAAGGGTGTTTCTGCCTGTGTCCTGGTCATCAGTCCTCAAAATAAAATAATTCTGCGTGCAAATTGACTGCCACGTTTGCCTACAAATTGAAAGATTACATTAATAGTCACCCTTGCATTTGATATAGCACCTTATCGTCAACAGCTGTTAAGTGCTTCACAGGATTTTACTGTAAAGGGCAGTGACTGAATTTGTGAGGGAATTTGTACTTCTCTGAAGAGGGAAAGTTTGCTCTCTGTATATATCTCTGGACCAGTGTTTCCCACCCTTGGGAAGTGTTGTGGGCTTTCAGCTGTACTCTCGACATGAACGTCGCTATATACATGTCAAATACATTGTCCAAACTAATGACTGCGATGGGTTAGGTATTTCGCAATGTAACTGACAGGCTTGTAAATCTTCTGAGCTGTGTTGCTCTGTGGTTTGAATGTCTCCCTCACACACCAGGCCCTTGTTTATGCTCCTCCTCCTCCTCCTCCTCCTCCTCAGGCTGACCTGAATTGCAATATCCAAGATGACGCGGGAGCTTTTTACGGTGTCACCAGCCAGTACGAGAGCTCGGAGAACATGACAATCACCTGCTCGACCAAGGTTTGCTCGTTCGGAAAACAAGTCGTTGAAAAAGTAGAGGTAAAGTCCTTTCTTTATAACGCCTTTTCATACAAAGTGCGTGGAAATTAAATGAGCAATGCACTGTAACAGACTTAATGAGCATTTTATAATAATAATATATAATATTCCTGCTTGCGTGTGTGACAGTGTTGATCGTAAAAAGTAAAAGCTTATTATTGACGATAGTCAAAGATTTTGTGAATTTACAGGAGGAAAAAAATGATCTGTTTACTTCTAATACAGCACAGCAGTGTTGAGGGAATCACATATGGCTATACAGTTTAATAATCCATGTGACTGTACTCACCTCAGCCCTCGAGCTCAGTCTATGCTGATGCTCCAGTGCAGTGCTGAAGGGTGATCTATTGTCAGAGATGCTGCCCTTCAGATGAGGTGTTTAAATCAAGGTCCGGTCTTCCTGTCATGACACTATTCGGCAAAGAATAGAGTTTCTCGCCAATTCCTGCATGGCCATGCTGCAGATTAATTGACTATTTGTCTCTTGGCTGTTTGTGGGACTTTGTCATGTGTTTTCCTACAAAACCAGTCATTCCATTTTACAGTAATTGCATAAAAAGTGCTGTGAGACCTTTCAATGGTAGTCACTGTATTCAGTTAACTTACTGCTAGTAAGAGAATGTGAAATATTATTACACGTAGGAAAACAATCTGCCTCTTTAGATATATGTTGTTGCTCTCCGCAGTCTGCAGTATCCAGGAAAGCCAGCTGGGGGCGCAACAATATTGTTAGTAAGAGAAAGTAAGAATATTTTTAGAAGTGAGAAAGTCTGATTTGCTGGTGAAATGCTTCAGCTAAGTGGCTATAAAATGTCCTTCAGCAGTTTTATGTAGAATTTTACAACCTAAAAACATCCATAAAAATACCTGAAATGTGCAGCTTTAACCCCTGTGTTAGACGAATGAGATGTGAGGAATCCGAGGAATTTAGCTGTCAGTCTGGCTCAGTTTTGAGCATTCTCACCTCTTGAGTTGGACGTTTGTGGGTTCGAGCCCCATGTCGGGACTCTGAGCTCATTGTTTGGTCAGGGATGACAAACATGCGGGGGGGGGNCATTACCCCTGAATAAAATACCGCACGTGTATCATGCATGCTAAGAACTCTTGTGAAAGTGTTGAATTATTTTCTTTTCCTTCCTCCAGACTGAATATGCAAGGTTTGAGAATGGACGTTTTGTGTACAGAATAAACCGCTCTCCAATGTGTGAATATATGATCAACTTTATTCACAAACTTAAACACTTACCAGAAAAGTATATGATGAATAGTGTGTTGGAGAACTTTACTATTTTGTTGGTGAGTACTTGTTTCCGTTGACTTGAAAACCGTTTTCCACAGGTAGTTCCACATTTCCTTCTTTCCCTTCAAATCCATTGATGTCGTTTGCTTCAACCGTAACTTCCGTCAACTTCAAAATAAAAATCATAATGATCTGGTCGCTCAATCCGCAACTGTTTGTGGGACTCTGCTGTGTGCCGACAAAATATACAGTCAATTCACTTTACAGTGTATTCTGTGAAGTGCTTTGAGATGTCTCAAAGACATGACAAGGCGCTATATCAAATGCAAGGTTTATTATTAAAAATTGCTTGGCAAATAATAAATGCTCAGGATTTTCTTTCCTTGTTTGCCTCCAGGTGGTAACAAATAGGGATACACAGGAAACCCTCCTCTGCATGGCGTGTGTGTTTGAGGTCTCAACCAGTGAGCATGGAGCCCAGCATCACATCTACAGGCTTATGAAGGAGTGAGCGTGAGATCTGCCATTGCCTTTCTAGAAAACGCAGCTGCGATTAAATAGACTTTTAAAAAAAAAAGAAAACCTCAATCCATGTGGCAGTGCCTCAAATCAGTGACACACCCGCACGCACCTGAATCTTTGCTGCGGGTTGCCTTTCAATGTGTACATTTTCAGCAACAGCTGTGAATTATGGTACCTTGTAATAGCTTTTTATATTGAAATAAGTGTGCTTTCAGGATATTTTTTTTTGAAATACCTGTTTATTGGATTACTACATTAGAAAACTGGGAATGTTGTGTCTAATTTTTTCGTAACTGTGGGTTTGTAGCCTAGTCAGTGCAAGTTTATCTGTGTTGACAGGGAGGGTGGGGGGTGTGTGTGTGTGGGTCGGGGGGTGGGGGGGGGGAAAGAACAGGAAAATGATTGTAGACACAATGCATTTAACTGTGGGATTACTATCTGCCTATGTAAAGATAATTTATTTAACGTGCGTTTTTTTTCCAAAGATGGTATATTCACAGATATATTTATGGACTTGTGAATATACATGAGGTAGCATCAGGATGAAGTCTATGGGTATCAGGCCAAAAAAAAAGCATTGCGATGCTGGTGAAAGCACATCAGTTATTTTAACAGTGAACAGGTCTGTTTTGCTTTGTGTTCTGTAAGAAACAACGCTTAGGTTTTTTTTTGGCGGGGATGACATTACTCAATTGGAATAAGTGCCCTTGGACCACTCCCCTTGTTTAAACACTTTCTAAAGTGTTCAGGACTGTCAGTTGGCACAGCAGTGTAGCGGTAGTTTAAAAAAAACAACTCTTTTTTAAAAAAATATTCAACGGTCTGCATGTTGAAGAGCGTGAGCTGGAACAGGCAACGCAAAAGTTATTCTACAAAGCGTTCCACGGTGAAAGGAAAAAATACCGAATGGTAAATGGATCTATTTTTTACTGCCTCACCCGCTCTAGATGGTAGGAGAATATTCAAATCTGGGGTGGGAGATGGGGGAGGGGGTGTTGGAAATGGTTGCAAAGACGCACAATTCTTTGTGGGTGTGTGTGTGTGTGTGCGTGTGCCCGTGGGGAGGGGGGGATTTGAAGGGGTGCAGTTGATGGGTGATGTTTTGTAAATCTCCAGTCACTTTGTTAAACTGACGGTTAATGGAATCTGCAACACAGAGCAGGTAATGCAACCCCCCTCTCCCACCCCCCCACCGCCCCGCCGAGTGAAATAAAAACAAACTTAGCTCAGTTTCCGGAGGTGGGACGGGGGGAGAGTGTCTGCCAGGTACTCTTGGTGTCAGGGAAGTGGAAGGAAGAAAACATCTGTTGATTGGGAGCAGTTAGCTAACCATTTGGCATTGAATTTTTTAACAAACGGAAATACCAAAATAAAATTGAATTGCAATTTAAAAAAAATATATAATCCAAAAGGCCTACAAATGCAATCGATCTGTGTTTTTTTTAAGGGAGTCTCATTGTTCTGCTCTGTAATGGCCAATGTTATAATTGAAAATATATATCAAATATCAGATGTGTATTTCTCTCCTCTAAACAAAACATTGTATCTGGAGAGAATGCATATTTTAAAAAGCATTTCTGTGCAGAGTATGATCTTATTGTTGTGAATCCCCAATTCGTCCTTGAGATTGCTAATGTATTCAAATGGGCTGATGAAAATACTCGCAGCAAAGCAACCCAGAAAGTGATGGACTCGTAGAAGCCTCTCTCTCCTGAGCACTTGAGGAGGTGGATGCCTTATTGAGCTGTCTTGCCTTTTTTATACTGCAAATTTGGTACTTGTGTATAATCTGATTGAGATGTGCGTTATTCCAAGTGAATTTGGCGAGTAAAATAACGGTAACGTGACAAAGCCAGCCTATGTGGGTGTGCCCAGTTCAGATTTGTGTTTTTCGCATTTGGCTTCAAACATTCTGTAAGTTGATGTGTTCACCCAAAATGTTCTTTTAAATCCTTTGCAAAGACTGATTGAGATGGAAGGGAGGGAAGGGAATGCCATGCCTTTTCAAAGCATTGTTATTTTGTCTGTACACACTTAAACTGTGTAAAACTATTGTGATCACTGTTCATTTCATAAGAAGTGAATGAAATCCAAATAAGACGTTGCTCAGACTGCAAACTCTTTCCTAAGCTGGAAGCCTCCAATGTTTTTTCCCAATGGGGTTTATAATTCATTGCTGCCAAAGCGTAGATTAATCAGTGCCTTAATAGTTGGTTACAGTAGAAAGTACTGTTCACCTGTCCCTATCCTCATTAGGACCACCTGTTTTGATTAGACACCAAAATATGCTGAACTTGAGAAGTGTTGAACGCTTTCTGTGTCTGTAGTTCTTCCCAATGTATCCCTGTTTGTGAATGATTGAGACTGAACATGTTTTAAAGGTACTGAGAGGGTTTATTTTATAAAAAAAAGTGCGTCAAAGCCATTATACCAGCTATAAAATATTTGCTCCAAATTTGGCCGAGAGAAGAACTTCAACCCAGTTTTGATCCAAGCCAGCACAGACACAGACTAGTTAGCCTTTTGAAACACATGCCTTTAATATTTAATGGCCAAATAATGACTTTCATACATTTCCTGCACTCTAGCTCGCAAAGTGCCTTTGTTTTTTGGGGGGAGAGGATTCCAGCCGAGGAAAGACCTTCCCAGTCAGTCACGTGATAGGAAAACCCTACGCAGACCAAATAAATAAATAAATAAATAAAGTAATTGAAACCGTGATCACCACAATGCCTTTTATTTGGGTGGGACTGAGAGAGCCCAAGCTGATGCTTCGAAACAAATTGTGTTAGCGGGCAATAGCCTGAGGTGGAGAGATGTAATGTTGAAGGAAATAAAAAAATTAATGATAAGTTCATTTTTTTAGTGTATGTTACAGTATAGACTCTTTGGGTGGATTTTGACCATTTGGATTTTCTACTAATGACCGTGAAGATTGTTGATTTTTAAATTTTACACAAAAATATAAGCCTGGCAAATATTATATCTTATCATCTGTGCCTTCGTGGCAACTGTTAATGGGAGAAACACTACGGTTTATAACTTAAGTGAGAACTAATTAAATTATTCCTTATGAAATGTACAGTGCCGAGATTGGGGAGGGCTGGCCTCAAAATGACATAACTATAGATTAAATGTCAGTTTTATGTTAGAATCACTGACAATTGAGGTCAATTTTTATTGATCCATTTACTTTTGCAGCTGCATTGCACAGCCCTGGTAGAGATGGTGTTTATACCGTTAAAGTAATTTTACAATCAATGCAAACCTGGTTCAGGAAACTAAACCTCATTAACATTTTCGGGGGTGGTGGGCGGGGGGGGGGAGTGGGGGGTAGATGCTCAGCACTAGTGAATTTGCTTCTGGGCACAAGGGCTAAGCCAACAATTCAGCAAACAAAGCCACTGGCAGTAAAGAGAGAGAGGAGAGGATTGATCTATTCCTAGTATGGGAGGGCCATGAAGCCAATGGAAATGCCCTTATTGCTGCCTTGGTAGATAAACTAATTGAATGTTTGCACAGGTTGATTGAGGTAAAATGGTGCCCTCTGACCGGCCCCTGCAGTGAGTAAACTGGCCACACAGCAATGTAAGCACTTGGCTGGGACCAGGTTTGGGATATCCGCAAGTATTTCTGCCATGCTTGTTTCTCGAGGAGGGAAGAGCTGCAGGTCTCAGCGGTAATTTAAACCGCCAGTTAGCTATTCTCTTGCTGCCCACACTCGGAAATTCTCAAGCTTTGTTACCCGTCAGGTAAAAAATTTGGATCTTTTCTCAGATAAATCCCACCCACACATTAGGTCTTGAGTAAGTTAATTGTGCAGATACACTCCCATTGAGAAAGACCATGGGAGCATTATTTCTGTTGCCTTTGACTATAGCTCAAAGAACTTTCCATGGATTATTGGTAATGAACGTTTAATAGTGCCTTGATATCAAATTTACTTTTCTCTCTGTCTTTGACATTGACCTCATGTTCTTAACCCATCAAAGCTTGTACCGCCCCCTGTGTGTGATAGTGGAGTGTGGCTGGAGACCATGTAAACAGTTAGAGGAGTTTAGGTATGGACATGACTGACCTTGTTGCTGCTATTGCCAAATCCGAGCCTTTGTTCGGTGTTGTGGATAAGTTGGTGGCACCTTCTCTACAAATCACCAGTGGTTTCACAGAGCAGATGCACTTCAAGATTTGGCCTTCTGGTTATGAAAAAAAGAGGGTGGGCAACTTAGTACTACTGTCTAGTTCCACAAAGGATCAAGTCCTAGTTCTCTATGTTAAGACCTTGCAAGTAAATCATTGTAATTTCTCACAAGTGAGACTGCTGTGTCATTCTTCTAACGCACATGGATTGGGGAGCAGTGTGAGATTTTCATAGGTGTGTTAAAAAGGTGCACAGAAGTTTTATTTCTGTTTCTTCTGTGCCCCTGATACTTTATTTCTAGATTTTAAGCCAACGACACTTTGTCACGCCTTGCGTTTGGTGTAACATCCTTTTTTTAACCAGACAAAGCCCAGTAAACTATCATGGCGTTAATGTATACATTAGAATATACAGCACAGAAACAGGTTATTCGGCCCAACTGGTCTGTGACTGTGTTTATGTTCCACATGAACCTCCTCCTACCCTTCCTTCAAGCATAACCTTATATTCCTTTCTCCCTCATGCAGCTTCCCTTTAAATGCATCTATGCTATTTGCCTCAACAACTCCTTGTGGTAGCATATTCCACATTCCCACTACTCTCTGTGTGAAGAAATTTCTTCTAACTTCCCTATTTGATCTAAGCGTGACTATTTTATATTGATGGCTCCTGGTTTTGGTCTCCCCGACATGTGGAAACATCTTTTCCATGTCAACCCTATCAAACCATTCATCATTTTAAAGACCTCTATCGGGTCACCCCTTACCATCCTCTTTTCAAGAGAAAAGGGTATGTTCAGCCTTTCCTGATAGGTGTAACCTCTCAGATCCTTGTGGATCTCCTTTGCACCATCTCCAGTGCCTCTACATCCTTTCTATAATGTGGGGACCAGAATTCCACACAGTATTCTAAGTGTGATCCATTGTGAAATTGGTTTAATCGTCAGTTATTCATTCTGGAGGCCTAATTCCCTTTACTGTTAGGTCTAAAAGACCATTTTGTATTTAAGATACATTTTTATACATACAACAATTTCTCTACGCTCCCCATATACAATTTGTGTCACACAAATACACACTCTGTATGCCTGCCTGTGCACTGGAGCCTAAAAACACTACAAGTTGCTGAATGTGGTCGAGGTCAAGGTTTTGAGTCATCAAAAAATGCCCCAAATCTTATAATGTATTGTACATAAAATGATCGCAATGCGGTTGCCTCCCCCCAGTTTAAAAAAAATGCTTTGGCACAACATAGTGTGTGAGGGCATTTGCTACGATTGTCACAATATTTATGGAAAAAACTAACAGTATAGATCAAATAGTTTGATTATCTTGTTTAAAAGGCACCGATGACACTTGTCCTTCCTTCCCCTCTCTTCTCTCCCCGCTCCTTCCCCATAATCCTGTAGAATGGGTAAGCTCAGTGGTGGGTGGAGGGGTGGGTTGGGGGGTTGCAAATCGAGGGTAATATTCTTTTGAACGTGTGTGTGGTGAATGGAGCTATGCAGTCAGTACACGAACAGCCTGTTACCTCTTTACTGGCATTTGGTTTTATTTCAGCCTCTGTGTCATCATGGCCTGTGACTTGTGAGTGAAGATCAGCCAGAAACAAAAAAAAATGTGCCTGAGTAACACAATAAAGGAATTTGGTATCCTTTAAACCTAAGTAGCCTTTAATTTTTTCTATCTACAAGTTTCCACTGTGTAAGCGACCGTTTTTGTTGCCATGTGTACTTTGTTCACATTATAAATAACTCATTGAATTTAACTTTTTTGCTTACATTTTGTCCTGTAATGTGTATAAAATGGTATTGTGGCTTTAACTGATGCTTTGAAATAATGGTCAGTGGTTACTTTTTTAAAAAAAAATCATACAGCTGGTAAATTTGCTACAAATATCTTTTTTGATTCAGTCTGCTACGTATCCCAAAAAAAACCATTTCTATTTGAACACAGTTGGAAGCTGTCCAAGTCACTTCCACTAAGACCCAATACATCTCTATCCCAGAGCCCCTTTGCCTCGCCCCTTCCCTTGCCACCTTCAAGGCCCATATCAAAACCTTCCTCTTTGACCGTGCCTTTGGTCATCCTCCCACACTCCCCCCCCCCCCCCCCCGCCCTATCCTCTCTAACCCCCCCGCCCCCCTCCCCCCCCACACCTCTTGATTCCAACCCCCAGCTCGGGTGTAAATGCTTGACAGTCCAGTGCCTTGGGATGTCTTCCCGATGTGAAAGGCGCTGTGTAAATGCAATTTGTGGTTAAGCTTCCCAAAAACTTTCCCATTCATGTTGATGGATCTTGCCAACGTTTTGTGGCAGGAAGTACTGCTCTTGCCCCTAATTGTTTTTTCTGTCCCCAACCCGTGCTAAATGTTAGTTTAGGTGTCATGGGATTTTGCCCTCTTATTTATTTTAGCGCCCAATTACTTCAAGCACTTGCCTTACTCCTGAAGTTTGCCCTTTTTTAAAGACATGCCACCATCATATGCCCTTTTGCAGCTGCTTGAGAGAACACTAATTTATAAGCGTCAAAAAGGACATTAAGTCAAACTTGCGAGCTGTACTGTATGTTTTGTATTTGTTGCTGTTAATGTGTAGGTACTGGTACCTTTTGGTTATAACCATTTAAAATGTTGGCTTTGAAGTAAACTCATCTTTAGTATGGATTAGTTGCATAAAATTTATAGGGTTTGTGTGCAGAGAATTTTTTAAAGGTGCTTTGTATAAAGGATGTATCTTAGCTTTCTTGGTACAGACGTGTGATAACCTTAATATCCATGACAGTTAAGTGCAATTATTTGAATCATCACTCTGAAACACAACTTGTGTGTGTGTGTGTCCTTTACAGCAAATGTTTGACACATTTTAATGCCTTCCTAATAAAGTGGTAGACATTTTGTAGCTTTCTAGAAACTTTGTATTTGTATTCATACAGTATAAATCAAACAATAAAAGAGAAAAATAACTGATCTCTCTCCTTTTTAATTGTTGCCATAAAGAACTGCAACATAATAATAATAATAATAATCCTTGCATTTGATACAGCGCCCTATGTCGTTGAGACGTCTCAAAGCGCTTTATATTGTAAAGTGGAGTGACTGTGTATTTTGTGGAGGAAGATTTGGAGCTGAGTGAGATTTTAACACCTGGAAGGTGGGAGCTCAGGAGATCATTTTTCAATGTAGTGATAATCCCAGATGCCTGTTACTAGGAAACTTATTACCAATGTCAACTGAGTGTTGCGCTGAAGCTATCTTAGGATCATTAATACATAGTTGCTATAGTAATGAATTTCCTGAATTGCACTATTGACATCCAGAGGAACAAAGGTTCCCAAGTGTAATCAATAGATAGATACTCAGCCACAAATGTAGGAGAACGTAGGGATTCTTTTATACAAAATTAAACCTATTGACTTTTAATGTCTTGTCATTTTTATATTTATGGTTGTCTACAAAATACAGACACTGTGCTACAGTAAATCCTGCAAAGAATTTTGACACAATGACATGATAAGACATATCAAGTGCAAGGAGTATTATTGCACATTTTATGGAAACCTTCAACCAAATTCTTTTCATTTTAATCGAGCTTCACAGGAGGTAGTTTAATGTGTGAAAGCCGAGCTTCTGAGGAAATAAAGTGTCTAACAGAAAGCCTTGTGGTTTTCACTGTGGTTTAAATGGTAAAATGATGTGTGTGAAGTTTGCTGTGAAAAATGATTTCCGTTTGATTGGGAACGTTGATTCAAGATTTAAATGGGCACCGGTCGACTTTCAACAAAAACCTTTGCAAGCTTTTCTGTTTGGAGACGGAAAAAGTGCTGCGCATCACTTTGACAGAACATTAGGTACAATCGACATGCTGGACGTCACCTCACTGTGCATTGACAACCATGTCAATGGTGCCCTTTACATCCACTGGTCATGAAGACCCTTCGGCCCATCCAATTTCAGCTCCCCACCCAAACATCTTCCATTTGCAGCTTCCTGACTTCCAACCACAGGTGGCAACCTGTTCCAGCTCTCATTTATTCATTGTGCCACACCTGCCTACAAAATACAGCACACTTTACATTATGTAAAACCTTTGAGAGGTACCAAATTCAAAGTTGATTATCTTTGTTGTTGCTGCTGCATCCTGTATCCTTTTCTGTTTGCAATTATGCATTGCACTTTCTGGTACCCGTGTCTGATTCTGTGCTGTGAGTGGCTTGATATAAACGGTGAGTCAATTGATTGATGCTTTTAAGTCTTTTTCAACTTATCGAATGGCAAATTCCATCCTATCCATGGATATTTTTAATCACAGGAAGCGTTTTGAGACAATTCAACAACATGATAAAAGTGCTTTATCAAATGAAAGGATTATTAATAATTATTATGAATTGATGTTGAATCTCCATCAATCTATGTTACTTAGATTCTCACTTGGCTGGCTTCATTCACAATATTTACATTGTTTCTTTACTGATTTGTTTAGCGATCTATACTTGCGCTTTCTATGTTTATACAGAATGTCCCAAACTGTGGAATCTCTGTTTCTCATTATTATTCTTTGAAGAGCTTACACGCTTTTTATGCTTCTTTGGTTTTCACTGTTTGAGTTGACCCACTCTCCCCCTCCCCTCCATAATATAGGTTCACTTTTTTTATAGAAAATATCACATGTCCACACACTATTTCAGTGAGCGAGTAGCAAATGTATGGAAGAGGCTCCCTAGGGTGATGCTGGAAGCAGAAAGTGTTGATTCTTTCAAAAGCAAATTAGATCAATTTCTTTTAGCAAATAGTATCTTGGGATACAGTACAGTATAGTTTGGGGACATGACATGTTCCAAGATGGGGGAAGGTGAACTGGATGGACCTATATCTTCTTTCGTCTTTTGTCTAGCAGTTCTTATGTTCTAAGTGACATTCTGTTACTGAAGGCACTTGTTCACAAATAAATAGTTAATATACAGCACTCTTAGCACATGAGAGGAGGAGTCTATGGAGAGCAGTGGGTGTAACAGAAAATTATCACAAGGATCAGAACTTAAAAGTTTTTAGAGTGCAACCTTCACAACTAGACATCGACAGTCCTGAATTGTTTTCCGCAAATTCTCAAAGAACAACTGATGCTGAACTGAAGGTACAGGCTTTTCAAAAATAATCTCAGACAAGTTAAGGAATAAGGCCTTTGAACTGGAATGAACTTTGGTGGAAGGGAGAGAGAGATGCACACAGAATTGACTGTTGTAGGGCTGCTAAAGCAATAGTGTTTTCCGTTCTGAATGCATAAGATCAGGATTCAATTCAGAGAATGGGGTGAATCTAGACACTGATCTTGTAAAGGATTTTATCTGTGAGGTTGTTAAGTGGGTTTATGATAAATGATCCCACTGATCTGCACCATAGTGATGCCTTTATGTGAATTTTGTGAATTTGTGAAATCTAAAAGGATCCTGTAGAAATCATTGGTATAATCAGTGACAAATCATTTTTATTCTTGCTGTTGGCATAAACGTATGTACAAATGAGAATCCAAATAGCATTTCATGGTGCATCATGTGCTGACATTTACACATTCTTATCATTGAAAAGAACTCTGCAATGTCTTATAATTTTAAAATCCAAGTTATTATAGTTATAATACTTAATTTAATTAGGTTTTCCTTGCTCTTGTAAAGCACTTGGGGTTAAGAACATAAGAACAGAAGAATTAGGAGCAGGAGTAGGCCATTCGGCCCTTCGTGCCTGCTCCGCCATTCAATAGGATCACGGCTGATCTTCAGACCTAACTCTAATTACCCGCCCTATCCCCATATCCCCTAATCCCTCTATTTTTCAAGAATCTATTAGTCTCAGCCTTGAAAATGTTCAAGGACTGAGCATCTACAGCCTTCTGGGGTAGTGAATTCCATACGTTCACTACCCTCTGAGTGAAGAAATGTTTCCTCAACTCTGTTCTAAGAGGCTGACCCTTAATTTTAAGACTGTGACCCCTGGTTATAGATTCTCCTACCAGGGGAAACAGTCCCTCTGTGTCTACTTTATCAGCCCTTTAAGAATCTTATAAGTTTCAATAAGATCTCCCCTAATTCTTTTGTACTCCAGAGAATACAGCCCCAGTTTATTCAGCCTCTCCTCATAGGTCAGTCCCCTCATCCCAGGAACTAACCGAGTGAATCTACGCTGCACCCCCTCGAGGGCAAGTATGTCCTTTTTTAAATAAGGAGACCAAAACTGCACACGATACTAGGTGCGGTCTCACCAAAGCCCTATACAGTTGCAGCAAGACTTCCCTACTCTTATTTTCTAAACATTTCGAAATGAACGCTAAATGCCGTTTGCCTTCCTAGTTGCTGCTGCACCTGCAAACTAACTTTTTGGGACTGGTGTACAAGGACACCCAAATCCCTTTGAATACTAACTCTATCTAACTTCTCCCCTTCCAGAAAATAATCTGTTCTTTTATTCTTGCTACCTAGGTGAATAATTTCACACTTGCTAACATTGAATTCCATCTGCCACCTACTTGCCCACTCCCCGAGCCTATCTGTATCCCGTTGCAATCTTTTTCCATCATCCTGAGAGCTCACTCTCCCACCGAGTTTAGTATCATCCGCGAATTTAGACACATTACATTCAATGTCCTCGTCCAGATCATTGATGTAAATAGTAAACAGCTGAGGCCGAGGCACTGATCCTTGTGGCACTACACTAGTTACATCTCCTGCCAATTCGAGAATGATCCGTTTATCACTACTCTCTGCTTTCTACCCGATAGCCACTCTTCTATCCATGTTAATATTTTCCCATTAATCCCGTGGGCCTTGATCTTGAGTTAGGAATTTGTACTTTTTTAAAGAAGAGGCAACATCATTAAATACAAGTATGGAATCATGGTCAATAATAGGTAACTTTCATTCTCACAGTAGTCAAACCACTTTACAGCAAATCCTCTGAATCATTTTGAGACGTCACGACGATGTGATAAGACACAATATTAAATGCAAGGATTATTATTAATAACTTCAATTAACTTTTTTTTCCTGCATTTAATTAATTAAATAAATAAATAAAATGAAACTCATGTTTGACACAGCACCTTAAATACTCTTTCCACCCCCACTCTCACCTTCCCATTCTGGTTTAACCAAATCTAATGGGAAATAAGTCAACAATTATTCCACCTGGGTTCAATTCCAGGCAGGGCGAAACCTTGGGCAAGTTTCCGTACTCCACACAGAGCCTGATAATAATCCCTCCAAAACCAAAAACAATAATAAATTGGTCATTTTCAATCTACGACTGTTTGTGGGACATTGCTGTGCGCAATTGGCTGCCGCGTTCACCCACAAATATACAGTCAATTCACTTTACAGTGTGTTCTGTGAAGCGCTTTGGGACGTCCTCCCGACGTGAAAAGCGCTATATCAAATGCAAGGATTATTATTATTATTATTATTATTGAGTTGGAATGAGTCATCTTGTTAAAAGACCTATTCAATGGGACTGTCATTTTTAATGCAACAAGAAAGTTAATAAATTAACATTGTAGGATAAAGAACCTTCAGTGTCGTTATACAGGAGTTTTTAGTGTTTTAAGTTCTTGATCATACCCCCCATCACATACAATATAAATTCACTCTACATCTTGTGAAGCGCTTTGAGACATCCTCCTGATGTGTAAGGCACTGTATCAAATGTAAGGCTTATAAAACCTCGGACTTCATAGCTCGACCGTGATCTAAACTAAAGACTTATAACTGAGGCTACTTGTAGAACAAGATACCTATTTGTTATTGTCCTTGAAAATAGAGCCAGAACGAAAAATATTCATAAGTTCTCGAAATAATACTTCAGTGTTCAAGCTACTAAGCAGTTCCAAATCCTACACTGCACTGAATATAATAATCCTGCATTGAATACGGTGCCTTATCATGTTGAGATACCAACCACTTTGCTACCCTCCACCCCTCAAATGGATGATGAATATTATCAAGTGCTGTGGGATCTTTAACATCCACCTGTTTCATTGAGTTAAACCAGCAGAACAGGTATTGGTGAATGTTGAAGATCAACTTTAATATCTCGTGCAAATGATGGCACCTCACAATAATGCTACACAACTCCAGCTCTGGATTAAAACCCTGATGTGGGACATGAACCCACACCTCGTGCCTCGGAAGTGAGAGTGTGAGTGACAACAGCTCACAGCTCAGCCAAGCTGCAGGGGATTGTGAAGGTCAAGTTCAGGACAAACACCAGGAAATATTTCTCTACAATAATAAGGTTTCCCTAATAATAAGGAACAGAAGAGAATTTAAGGGTGCCGACCAAAAACAGGGTCAAAGAGAAAGGTTTTGGAGGCGGGACAGGAGAAAAGTGAAGGGATCTTAAGGAGACTGTTCAATAGAGAGGGGGAGGATGGCTGGAAGCTCAGTCACTGATTGTGGGACAGGGAAGGTGGGGGCAGTGAGGAGCAAGAAGCAGATTGGTCATTTATTTGTTGTCAAACAGATATTCATGTGATTCGGGTTGAGAACAATAGCTGCTCAGTCTTATCAGATTTGCCTCTGAAATAAATAACCTATGTATATGAGTCTGCGCAGTGTAATACATAACGTAATCATACACTCTCGAATTCTGTCGTGTTGCCTCGCCACATTGAGTGAAGGTCTTATTCACACACCGATGAGCCATCAACTCCTGTGTCCCCCACTCTCTGGGAGCCTCTCCCTCTCATCTATGGGGTGGTGGGGGGGGGGGGGGGGGGGTTGGTGGAGCATAGGAAGAGCTGCATTGTCACTGGTGCTGTTGGCCCTCAGATTGATTCCTCAAACTAGGTCCCCATCCGCATGTTCAGGTGGAAAGTTGATGATCCCTGACTATTTGGAAAGGGAGTGGAGTTTCTCCCAGTGTCCTGGCCACCATTCCCTGTGCCCCGCACCCCTCCCCCCCGGACAAAACTAATTATTCACTTCATGTTATTCAATGCCAACTAGTTTGTAGCTCTACTCTCTGGGTATCTATCTCCAGATAAACTGAACACACACCAATGAGGAGGGCTGAATGGACACTACTGCTTGGAAACTTCTTTATGGAGCTGTAGGTTTTGAGGTTTGAAAGTTTGTATTATATCCGAGAAATTGTACTGTGTTTGAGCAGAGTCTGCACAAACAGACTGTTTAGTGAAGGAGAGGCATTTGATTTGAATATGCTTTAGCACGGTGGTGGGTTTCCGTACGTGTCACTAGCTCAGCTAAACCATCAGGTCATCAGAGAAACTGACCATAACTTTATAATAATCATTAATTAATCAATCATACTCCTGGACTTTTCCCATTGGGAGAACGTCACAAAGCACTTCACAGGATTCACCGTAAAGCAACAACAAAATTACATTTGTAAACAAAGTGTGAAACAAAGTAATTATACAGTGTAATGGGCAGGACTGTTTGGTCAGCTCTTTTGCCTGTAAAGAGCAACAGAACGAGGAAGTCACGAGAAAGGAATTACCTTGAATGCTTGTCTGGTTGGTTGATGGAAGAGATTAAAAAGACAAATGAAAGCCTCACCCTCCAGCTCTTTTCTTATGTTCCCTTTACTCACAGGCTGGGCCACAAGAAAATGGTTGGTGACCCCTCGACACCGCGCCCCCCACCCCCCTTTAATCTACTCTAGAGTTAGTTGTAAGGATGGAGATGGTATCTTTGCCCTCTGCCTTGCGCGATGTGCAAAGTGTTTCAGGTTTTAAATCCTGTGAAGTGTTTTGAGACAACGTGATAAGGCGCTGTAACAAATCTAAAGATTATTATTTTTCCTCTTCGGTTTTGTTTGCGTAAACATTTTGGTTCTGATGTTGAGTGAGGGTGTGGGTTGATCGGTTGTAGAGAGATTTTCTTTTACATTGAATCCTTCACTCCGTTGATCCTCTGCACTGGGTGGTGTGTCTCCTAGGTGATGCTGGGTCCGGTTTGCAAATTGAATAATTCCATTTGAAGCTTCTCCCTTGATTAAAAAAAACACAAATAAAAATATTGTATGCTGCTGATTCCACTGACGAACGGTTTGTTCCTCACTTTGTCATTCTTCATAAAAAAATCAGCGAAGCCATGAAATGGCTTCAATGGGATGAGACCCACAGATCCAACCATTTAAGCTCTTCATTGGAAGGGTCCGAGGGATATTATCTTACAGGACCAGATAGTATACCTTAACCCCATATGAATAGGAATGCACGGTGCCAGCACTGATAACCATACACAATTAGATTTGCTCAAAACCTGCCAGACCAGTTAAGCAGGTTGATTCGGTGCTGCGCTCCATTTGATTAAAAGGGGAAATCTCACTACTTGTGTTATAACGCTGAAACATTGAACAGGAGAGCAAGGGTGTTGATTGGTACCTGTGTGGCCACATCTTCACCCCCAACTGGAGACAGAGGAAAAAATGTGTATTTTTTGTGGCACATTATCACGTCAAAATGTCTCAAAGTGCTTCACAATAGTGACTGCTTTTTCATAGCCAACCGTAGTCATTTGTTTTGGTGTAGTTGACTAGCGACAGAATCTCTCTATCTCTCTTTCTCCATCACCACATCTCTTCCTCATGGTGGAATTGCATTTGATTTCATTCAATTGAGATTAAGTTAGTTTGTGGAACAAGTGGTTCTCAGGTGCTGGGAGTCGAGTCCTCTCTCTCTCGCGGGAAACGCTCACAGGAAGTTAATGTATTGTTGAATCGAAAGCTGCAAAAACACCAGGAAACTTTTTTGTTAAGTGCGTTTTTCATGCAGACAAAGTGAAAAGTTGTAGACACTTTGGAACATTCAAGAGAAAGTTAGTTGAAAACCTTATCATTTGCATCAAGGGAAAACTATTCCTACATTTGCATCCAACGGCATGAGGGCAGGGAATCATCCCACTCAGCTCTTGTTAACCCTGCAAGCCTTAGCCCGAATGGATAGTTTGGTCATAGCTGGACAAGTAGTGGGAAAGCTTGCCAGGCAGAACTCTCAATGGCGAGCTATGCATTTTTAACTGGTTAGACTCCATTAGTTTCCCCAACACACTCTAGGCTCCCCCCAAGCCTTGTCTCTTGCCAACCTGTGCTTAACATTTGCCGGAATATTAGCATGATGCATCCCTCCAGGGAGAGAGAGAGAGGGACACATTCCATTCCAATAATCTATCTCTGGGATTCCGATGTGTGGGTGGGATACATGGAAATCTCAGCTTGGTTGTTAAGCATGATGATGGGTTTCCACATGTGTCAGACACCCGGCTGACCAAAAAAAGCCATGTATGTAAGTTACTATCTGAACCTCACATCCGTCCACTTGTGCCTTTAAACGTACAAATTTATATTGTTTTTCTTTGAATTTGGAGCGAGGCGGGAGAGGGAGGTGGGAGTTGGGAGAGGGAGGTGGGGTTGGGAGAGGGAAGCAATAGGAAGAAAACCAGTGACAAATAGTTGGAATACTTTTCCAAAACTCCCACAGGTTGCAACATGCTGTGACCGTTTCAGAGCCCGTGGGACGTCAGCTCAGCTAACAGCAAAGCTATGAGTGACAAAAGAAAGACAGAGAGATTTTGTTGGTGCGCTGGACAGTGCTCTGTGCATAAAGCAACATCAGTCTGCTTCATAGGCCTTGGAGCTTGGTACTGATCCTGTGTGTGTGTGTGTGTGGGGTGGGGGTGGGGGGAGGTGGTGGCTGGTGAGGAGGAAGATGAGGGAGGTGCGAAGGAACCAGTGAGAGTGGGGAGGTCAAAGAGGAAGGTCTTCAGGTGAGGTCTGAAGATGGACAAGGCAAGGGATTGAGGCAAAGAGTTCCAGAGTGTTGGGGGGTATTGGCTGAAGGCTCGGCAGCTGCTGGTGCAGAGGAGTGGATGAGGGATGTGCAGGAGGCGAAGGGAGGGGGTAGAGGAGTAGGGTGTGAGCAGGTCAGAGAGGTAAGAAGTGACAGGCAATGAAGTGATTTGTACATGAGTGTGAGAATCTACACACATGCCTCCACCTCTCCTAATGCCCTCTCCTAATTCCCTCTCCTCCCTTCTGCATCATCGAGTTTCTTCTTATATACAGATAGGTTAGAACAGGGATGGGCAATTATTTTGGCTGGCGGGCCACTTCACAAATTTTGGTAAGCTTTGCGGGGCACACGCTTAATATAGGCGCAAATGCTTAATAATAGCTCAAAATCAAGTCTCACACTTGCACACGTATAAAATAAAGTCTATATAATTGACATTCATTAAAATTAGGTTAAATAAAAACAACTCATTGAGCAGACATTTATTCAATATTTATTCATTTATTCACATGTTGATGAGAATGTGAGACACTCACTCAATGGGAAGAATGAAAGAGCTGATGTGCATTAACCAGACAATGAAGTCAGGCATCGTCTCCGTTGTTGCAATGCGGAGAACTGCTGCAAAGTGGTCATCGGTCATCACAGATCTATGTTTTGATTAATTGAATTTCATCACAGAAAATTCTGCTCGGATATGTATGCTGATCCAAACAGCACAAGCATCATCCGGGCATGCGCATTTATTTTTGGAAAGGTATATTCATTAAGAGAGGCGTAAAAACTGGGAAGCGGCATTGATTTGAATTGCTCCGCAAGCAATGGATCACATTGTGGATCAATAAGCTTGAGTTGGAGGTCAAATGGGGCTTTGTCAACATCAAATGAGAAAGGTGAAGAGACCAAAGACAGGTCATTTGTGGAGTCCTGTAGCTCAGTGGTTAGAGTACTCGCCTGGCAAGCGAGACACCTGGGTTCAATTCCAGGCAGGTCAGGGCGATACCTTGGGCAAGTTTCCTTACTCCACACAGAGCCTAATAATAATCCCTCCAAAACAAAACAATAATAAATTGGTCATTTTCAATCCACGACTGTTTGTGAGGACGCTGCTGTGCGGAATTGGCTGCCGCGTTTCGCCCACAAATACACAGTCAATTCACTTTACAGTCTATTCTGTGAAGCGCATCGAGACATCTAGAAGACGTGAAAAGCGCTATATCAAATCAAGGATTATTATTATTATTATTTTCGATCAAATTGAAATCCCGGAATCAGCGAGAAAATTTGGCATGTAAGTCAAGAAGTGACAAAGTATACCTTTTAAGGCTTTGATCGCAAACAGTAATCTGTTGCAAAGTTGGAAAGTGGGAGAACAGCCCGTTTCCTATCTGATGCAATAAAATAAATAATTTTGTCTTAAATGACTTGACACTGCAACACAATCGTGCACAAAGGCCCCTTCCTTTGCAGTTTTGAATTCAGTTCATTCATGTGGCCCATAATATCAATGGCAAATGTGGAATCAGAGAACCAATTCGCATCATTCAGCTGTGGGAAATCCAATTTTTTTTGTTTCAAGCCCAAAAATAAATCAATCTCTGCTCTGTTCCCACACACTTTTCAAGACCTTTCCTAAACTAAGCCATCTTACACTTGTGTGACACAGAACATACCTTGTGCTTGGATTCCAATTCCTCAAGCAGAGTGGTAATTCACGTAACTCACTCTTGTAATCTCATCCTGGAATGCAAATTGTTTTGTGAAAATGCTTTGCTCTTTCTGGATTCAAACAACCATCTCATCAGCTTTTTTTCCTTTTTTTTCAGCAGAAATGTTCTTATATTTGCAAGCGTGTTTGCTCTCAAAATGGTGATTCAAGTTGTAGCCTTTGAGCACTGCCACACTTTCTTTGCAAATTAAGCACCGCTTTTCCACCCACACCGGTAACAAAAAAANTTTAGAGGTCCATTCTTTGTTAACTATTCGGCCTTCAGCGTCCACTTTCCGCTTCTTTGATAAACTAATTTCTAATTAACATCCTCTTCAGTAAAAAGTATTGTCGCGGTTGCCGCGTGAGTGTTTTAAAATTTCCCGATCCGTACATTTCTGACGTCAGCCTAATTCGACACTTAAGGGAGCGTGCACACAACTAAGCCGTGTGACTGGCTGATGTTCCCGGTCAGATTCAAATGCGAAATTTGTGCGACTTTCTGGGACTGAACAAACTATACTTTTTTCTATTGCTGGACACAATGACCGGCCGGAGAGAATCATTTGGCGGCCAGATATGGCACTCGGGCCGTATTTTGCCCACCCCTATTAGAACATGGCAGAGTGTCTTCAGCTAAGAGTCTGATTCTTCCTTCCTTCATGTATGCAAATCATTCCTTCCCATGATCATTTAGCGTTGATGTTACAAGGTTATTTACAAACCTGTTTCACCTGTTGTCTCCTTAATGGGAGGGTGTGACACTGGCATTCCCCAAAAATCTTAGCCAGCCTGACATGAAGGTAAAACATGTATCTGGCCTCTCTCCAGCTGAGGAATTTAGCTATGGTTTCTGAACTTGATTGCTATCTAACAGTTAGTGGAAGTGTCTGTGTGGGTGTGTGAGTGTGTGTGAGTCACCACAGACACATTCATTGGATTAAGTGACCCCCTTCTTGTGCTGGAAGACATTATGATCCTACGAAGATCAGAAAGGCTTACTTCTTGCCTATTCCCTGAATAATAATCATCATAATCCTTGCATTTGATACAGTCCCTTATCACGTCGTTGAAACCTCTCAAACAGTTTCACAGAATATACTGTAAAGTGAATTGACTGTATATTTTGTGAGCAAAACACGGCAACCAATTGGGCACAGCAGGGTCCCACAAACAGTCGTGGATTAAGTGACCAAATTATTATTATTATTATTTTTTTTTTTGAAGGGATTATTATCTCCAGAAAGCGATCTGCCAATTGACTAACAACTGGGTTCCTACTTACTGTTAAGTAAACGGTTGGGGCCAGCCAGCCGCCGCATTAATAAGCGTTGACAAGTTTTCCGATCAGTGACAGCATCAAAGACTGATGTGTTTTCAGGGCTCGAAGACGAGGGAATCACGATGCTGTGGAGAAAGCTGTTCTGTTTCGTGCGGTGTAATGTTCGCCGCTGGTGTTTGCTGTTGTTCCTCACCACCATTTTACTGTTCTACTACAGGAACGCTTCTGATACACAGCCAACCACGGTAAGATGAAAGCACCATCTCAAGGGTATCAAGGTATAATAATAATAATAGTAATAATAATAATAATCCTCACATTTGATATAGCGCTTTTCACGTCTTCTAGACGTCTCAAAGCGCTTCACAGAATAGACTGTAAAGTGAATTGACTGTATATTTTGTGGGCAAAATGCATATTATATATATATATAGTATGTGGGGCAAAGGTGGGTAATTGGGGTTGAGGTAAGATCAGCCATGATCTCATGGAATGACTGAAAAGGCTCAAGGGGCTGAATGGCCTCTTCCTTGTTCCTATGTTCCTGAGTAATCAGTGATTTGCTATTTTACTAGTTGCCAGTTAAAACATTGGCATGTATCTTGTATGTTTTTATTAATGGCTCACTTATGCTTCCTGCAGCCGTGGGATTTTGCTTACATTGTTCTCTGCCCTTTGAATTAAATAAAGTTTATCCTCAAGGGCACTGGCAGCTTTAATTCCTATGTTCCCAAGGTGATTGGAGATTTGGTAATGTGTAAAAAACACAAATGATCCGAATACATTTGACACTGATTGTGTATCACCAAGGAAACCGGGGTCTGATCTAGTCAGGCCACAAAACAATTTCAATCTAAACTGCTTACAGCCTGTTGGCTTTCTCCCTGTTCTTACAAAACAAGAGGTGGGTTTGTGGGGGTTGCAAACTAAGATACATTATTGCACTGTTTTTCTCTTGCTTTGTCAAATAATAAAGCTTGCTCCCTTTTTATTTTATTGTTATTCATGTTATTATGAATAATATCATTATTATTTATTTACGATATATTCTGTGAAGTGCTTTGAGACATCTCAAAGACGTGATACGGTGCTATATCAAATGCATTATTATTAATGGATTATTATTATTATTTGACAAAACTAGACATTTTTGAGACATTTTGAGATTACGGAGTGGAGTCCTATAGCTCAGTGGTTAGAGCACTCGCCTCGCAAGCGAGACACCTGGGTTCAATTCCAGGCCGGGGGAAACCTTGGGCAAGTTTCCTTACTCCACACACCTAATAATAATCCCTCCAAAACCAAAAACAATAATAAATTGGTTATTTTCAATCCACGACTGTTTGTGGGACATTGCTGTGCGCAATTGGCTGCCGCGTTCGCCCACAAATATACAGTCAATTCACTTTACAGTCTATTCTGTGAAGCGCTTTGAGACGTCGAGAAGATGTGAAAAGCGTTATATCAAATGCAAGGATTATTATTATTATGTCACTGTATCAAATGCAAGGATTATTATTTATTTATTATCCTTCAGTAACTGGCCATGAGGAGAGCCATTACCTGTTTCCCCCCAAGTATGACTTGTCCTGTTCGATTCTCCTTCCGCACTGACTAGGATGTGCCTCAGTCCCTGCTCAATGCCTTGCCGTGTGACATGCAGAAGTGTAGAACATCCTTAGGTTCAGTCTTATTTCAGAAGAGAGTTTCTTTCTAATGTACTGGAGGAAACCGGCCTCCAAATTGACACTGAGTGTAATAATTTTCCAGAAATCGCAGTGACCTTAAAGGTTATGGCAAACTATTCTCACAAGATTAGTCTTGGAGAAGAAAGATTTTCGGTTCATCCCTCCAGATAATACTGTTATAATACCAGCCGTTAACTGTTAGTCCTAAAACTGGGGGAAATTGTGGACCGCGGATTGTGAACTGGCCTCAATCCCCACTCTGTGACATTGAAGTCACTTTGTTTAAAAAATAATATTTATTTGAATTGCTTTCGTTACAATTTTTCAGTCTCGAAATACAATGTTACTTACAGCTGCAGCGAAAGTGTTTCAAACTAACTTAAGGAAAGAGCCCCCTCTGCTGATCAACCACTTATAGAACCATGAGAGCTGTGACAAAGATGCATTTTGCATTTGTCAGTTATATGTGTATATATGTAATAATTCCTTGCGCTTTATCATCAAGCTTTATCATCAGCACTTCACAATATGTTACTGGAAACTTTAGTGACTGTAGATAAACAAATATTTACCTCTAGATACTGGCAGAGTAATAATAATAATAATGTCCAGAGATATGGTTCAAGTCAAATGGCGTGAGAAAATCAAGCCTAGAACATTTTCTCATATTCATGACTGGGGTCTAATTAGTGGGTGCCCTTTAATGATGTATTTAACATCAATCAGAGACTGACAGAATCACTTCATAAATCATTACATTGGATATTAATAATATAAGTATCGTTAACCTACAATCCCCTCTGATAAACGTGTGATTGCACTTAGTTAAGATGTCCAGCATTAGCCTTGTGTAGTGACCGTCAGATTGTCATCATAAACATTGAGAGTCACTCACTGTGGTTATAAACGCTGTCGTCACAGGAAACTGCTTTTCCCCGATCAACGACTATTGAAGTTACCTTCTTGTTGAACAGTGTTTGGTGTAACTGGAAGCAGATTCCTTGTGTCCTGATATTAGGCCCATTATCAGATGGCAGCAAAGCTGAGCTGCAGATAACACAAAACGCTATGGATTAATGTGTGGCAGGGCTTGGCAGGACCTTAAGCATGTCAGTCATGGCACTTTGTGTCCAGAGCCTTATTGTCTCCTGTCCTGGCATCTTTCCTGCTGTAGCCACACTGAAGGAATTTCACCACATGTGAGTATGTATTAGTTCTCATTTTCCACCTTCAGGGGCAACCTGAGCAGTGAGTAGTCCATCCAAGGCAAGAGATGTCTCAAAGGGAAACATCGATGCTTTGTTGATCTAATCTAAATGTAGCACAAGGTGTCTTGGACGCAGTGAAGTACCTAAGAAGATAAAAGCCCACTTGCAAAGGGTGACTTGTTCTGAGTATCACGATTATGGTATAAATGCCCTGGGATTCTGGCTGGGAATAGGGAGGGCAGGGGGAATCATCTGTGTGTCACTCAGGTGATGTTCAGGTGAATGTTAAAGATCCCACTCGGCACTAATTTGAAAAGAGAAGGGAGTTCCTCCCAGTTTTCTGGTCAAAATTCCCCCTTAATATAAAAAAAGGACATTCACTTTATGGCTGTTTGTGGGACATTGCTGTGCGCAAATTGGTTCCTTGTTTGCCTACAAAATAGAGTCACTAAACTTTATAGTAGAGCCTGTGAGATGCTTCAGGACATCCACTTAGTGTGAATGGCGCGACATCAAATGCAAGAACTATTATTATTTATTGTCACCTCTCAATAGAACAAGCCCTCCAGGCTCCTTTGGTTATATCTGTACATGTTCGACTGATCAATGCCTTGCGATACTTTGATTTCAGAACGTTGTTTGTGCTCTGCAAAATATCAGCAGAAACATCGAGATGAAGCATGCACAGAATTTCACGAGTCATCTTGACATTTTTCAACCATTAAATATTTTTTACCAACATCTAGCTGGGTCGCTTCCTGAAGGCAGAAGTAAGTTGCGTGCGTTGATTCCTTTTTTTGTTTTGCCGGCTGCTTCACGGAATCTAATTTAAATTCTAATTGATTATAATGGTTCCAAAACCATGAATAGTTGTTTTGGGAACCATTGCAATCCTGTAGCATATTGGGTTAGAGCACTCGCCTCGCAAGCGAGAGGACAGAACCTTAGGCAAGTTTCCTTACTCCACACTCCTCTGTTTATGGAGCAGTAAGTAAGAACTTGGATGTTAGTCGATTGACAGATCGCTTTCCGGGTATAATAGTCTCTCCAAAAAATAATAATCTCAGCAATTGGCTGCTGCGATTCGCCCTCAAACTATACAGTGAATTCACTTTACTGTATATCCTGTGAAGCGCTTTGAGACGTCTGAACGAAGGCACTATATCATATGTAGGCATTATTATTATTACAACAACAACAAGATTCCATTTATATATTATATATTATTATTATAAGAATTGAAAACAAGCAAAACTAAATCACCTAAACCTCACAAAACATTTTGCTATTCTTATTTTCAGAATATTTGTCAATAGGGATATCATCAGTCAGGAGAAGAAGAGAGAGTTACCTGGCAGGCACACTGCAGTCTATTTTTGAGAAGAGCAGTCCTGAGGAGTTGGAGGAGATGGTGGTGGTAATTTATCTAGCAGACTTTGATGTGTTGTGGAGCATCAACACTGCGAAGGAAATTGAAGCTAAGTTTGGATCGCACATCGATGCAGGACACCTCGTGGTCATCCGTTGTCCCCAAGACATTTACCCGACATTGGAAGGGCTCAAAAGAAATTTCAATGATCCAGATGCCAGAGTCAGGTACAGATCAAAGCAGAATGTGGACTATGCTTTCCTAGTTAACTCCTGCACCAAACTGTCTGACTATTTTTTAATGCTGGAAGATGATGTGTTGTGTGCCAAGAATTTTGTGTCTTTAATGAAGAGATTTGTGGCTTCAGTTGACAGTTCCTGGACCACCCTGATGTTCTCAAAACTGGGCTACATTGGCAAGCTGTACCACAGCGCTGACCTGGCCAAGCTAGCCAGGTTCTTGCTCATGTTCTATGACGAGATGCCCTGTGACTGGCTACTGGAGCATTTCCACAGGGTCAAAGCCCAACCTGAGGAGATTCGTTTTAGACCGTCTCTCTTTCAGCACATGGGAAACTACTCTTCATTCCAGGCCATTAGGAATAAACTAAAGGATGATGATTTTGTGGAGGTTTGGAATTTTCCCGACAATCCTACAGCGATGGTCTACACAGACATTGAGGTCCACAAGCAATATCAGCCCATTAAGGCATATAACACGAGAAATGGCTATTTCTGGGGTATATCACCTAAAATGGGCAATTACTTCCTCCTGATCTTTGTGAATTCAATCCGGATTAAAAAACTCCAGGTATTGACCGGATCGAATGACCCAAAGGCAGACATGCTGGTTTCCGGCATTGTGGAGCTGGGCCGAGGGAGAGTGACCACGGGAACCAATGTGAGTTGCACCTCGTATAGTAAACTTGGGGACTTTCGTGAAGGGAAGATTGAGATGGAGAATTTCATGACGGAGACTTCTGATAAAGTAGACTGCATCCGCGTGCTGGTGACGAGAGATCAGATCGAATGGCTTATAATTAACAGGATCAATGTTTGGATTCTGAAAGAAAAATAATTCTCCTCTTTCTACTCCACATTGGCAGCTCTGACATGTGACTGTCACCACAACACACACTGCCTTGTTCCCCTGATCCCAACCAACAGCTCGGGTGTGGAACCCTGACTGTCCAGAGCCTTGGGATGTCCTCCTGAAGTGAAAGGCACTGTGTAAATGTTATTTGTTGTTGTTTTTGTTGTTGTGCCCTTTTGCTGTTACTGAATTGCTGCTGACGCCCTGTGCCCTCCAGCACAGAACGGTGGTGGAGGGGTAAGGGGGTAACATCCAAGGGCAATTGACCCCAGGCTCATATCACACATTCAACTGAACAGGCAGACAGGCCCACAGTTTAAATTTCATCTGAAGGACTGCACCTCCAGCCATGGGGTACTCCCCCAGCAGAGCACTGGAGCGTCAGCCTCGAGTTTGAACTCAATGTCTCAACGTGGGGCTTGAACCCACAAGCTTCAGAACTCAGAGGCACGAGTTCTACCAACTGAACCATGGCTGACACCTGTTAAGCTCTGATAAGCTAAATTCTGGTTTGATCTACCAAAGCTGCTTATGATGCTCAATTACTGGGAGACCATTTTTGATTTGTAGATTGTATAATTTGGGACTGGTGTAGTGAAAAATCATTACTCAGGTATAAATTAGGCTACAGTTGTCTGAAATCTTGAGCCATCAAGTTAATAATAATCAATCTCAATGGCAGGCTCTGTTGTTCTTGTTGTCTCTCCATCAATTCTGTGAGAATGATTGAGCCTGAAATTGCCTATGACTGTGGTTGGTGTTGCCAAAACTGCGTCTCTTGATCTGTAAGAAATTGCTGTGAAGAAAGCAGTGTTCAATGTTACCTGAAGAGATTTTCATACAGATATATATTTATATATTTTGTAAAGGTAAAGGTTATCTCATGGGGAGAATAACAATTTGAATAAATATTGCAAATATGTACATATTTACTACACTTTGTTATATAATGACAATCTTTTTTAATTAAGCGATTTAGCTGTAGTGTTTTGTGTACAGGGTTTCTTTTTTGCTCAGCCGGGTGTCTGACAGATGTGGAAACCCATCACGGTGCTTAAGAATATCTAAACCAAGCTGAGAGTTCCATGTCTCCCACCTACACGTGGAAATCCCAGAGGGAGATTGTTGGAATGGAATGAGCTCTCTCTCTCTCCCTAGAGGGACACATCCTGTTTACCTAATTCTGGAAAGTATTAGGTGCAGGTTGGAAAAAGCCAAACTTTAGGGACCCCAGAGTGTGTGTTGGGGTAACTGTTAGAGTCTAACCAGCTAAACCCACACAGCTTGCCATTGATATCGCTGTCCGGCAAGCTTTCCTGATGCTTGTCCAGCAAGGACCACCCTACCCGTTAGCGACCCAACCTTGAATTCCGATCAGAGGCTCAACTTGTTGAATGTTCTCTTCAATTCCTATCTCCAGCTTCAGGTAATATATGTGGGAGGTTAGAACTATGGAACTCTGTGATAATGTCTGACTCCCTTGAATAGATTTGAATGAGATTGTGCAATCTATGGTTCAATTCTTTCAGAAATATTCCACAGCCTTCAATACAGAATAATCACAAGGCACATTATTGTATACAATAATTTAAATTCTACGATTATTTTAACAAGATTTTCAAATAACAATTTGATGCAATTAATGACTGCCAACCACAGACAGGTGGTTTGCAGATCTGCTAATGTCCACATGAAGGCAGTATAAACAAACAGATGGAGTCTAACATCCCGTCAGACTGATTCACAAATATTCTTATAAATATTCCTGGTGTGCTAATTCTGTGTATATATGACAATTTATTCTCAGGCAGAAAAATAAAGAGCCTAATCCTTAGCACCTTTCACATTCGGAAGATGTCTCAAAAGTCTTCACAGCGCAAAGCGTAGTGACTGTGTACATGTAGGCAAACAATAGCAATAACACAATAACACAGTATATCACAATAACATTAAGAATTCCTAAATTGCTTTAAGGTTCGAATGAGAAATTTGTTAAATATATCTTGGAATTTGTAATCATGGTTTATTCCTGTCTTCCAGATAATTGTGGCACCTTTTTGTTTTTTAAATGAATTCCATTTTTCTCAAATACATTAAAGATATATTTTTTTAGAAGAGATTTCATTATGGAAGTCAAATTACAGCAGAGTCAAAGTCTTGAGGCAGAACCTGAAGGGGATGCAGTTCCAAAGGTCGAGTGAGCTCCAGTCATGGAATGGAATGGAAATGACAGAAAGATTTGCATCAAAGTAAACTGTTAACTTAAAGAAACTCTGGCTGAGATTATCCAACTCTGCACAGTCAGGATGGGAATCAGGACCTTCCCCTTTCTCCTGTCTCAGCGAGTATCTCCAGTAATTAGCTGAGTGACGGGGGTGGTGGGGGTGGTGGGGGGTAATGGGAGCTTGTCACTGTGACATCTCTCAGATGTGGGGAGGCATTTCAATTGGATTAAAGTCGTCAACACTGTAGGTTTGTAAACAAATCAAAACAAGTTTGTCAAATACATCTCATGAGCACAATGTCCTCTTTATAACCGATCCGTTGTGATTTATGCCAAATGTGGCCTTTTAGTTTTGCGAAGGCCAAATACATACATACTATCCTCCCTGCTGCTTTTAAGGCTGTTACAATGTGGTGTTCTGTTCCCAAACTCCTCCTCTGTAACCCACATACACATCCACCATCCACCTCCTGACAGCTCCTCACTGTTTCATTTGGAAAAAAGAAAAGCTAATTGAATAATGAAGCACCAAATGGAACAGGAACTATTCAAAAAGGACCGACTTCCTCATGGCTTAAAACAACAGCAATTGATCGATTGCCGGAAAGCTTGTCAGACAACGGTATCAATGGCAAGCTGTGTGGGTTTAGCTGGTTAGACTCTTAACAGTTACCCCAACACACACTCTGGGGTCCCTAAAGTTTGGCTTTTTCCAACCTGCACCTAATACTCTCCGGAATTAGGTAATCAGGTAATCAGGATGGGTCTCTCCAGGGAGAGAGAGAGCACATTCCGTTCCAACACTCTCTCTCTGGGATTTCCATGTGCAGGTGGGATGTATGGAAATCTCACATTGGTTTGGAGACTCTTAAGCAATGGTGATGGGTTTCCGCAGGTGTCAGACACCCGGCTGAGCAAAAGATAAAAGAGGCTCAGAACAGCTTCTCCACTGACTGACACCAGGATAGTGAACCGCGAATGAACAATTTAATTGTGGAGTCTAATCATTCACGAGAACCTATGTTACTTACCCGCAAAGCCCCACACGTTCAAACAAACATTGCAGCGTTGGACTATGGAGCGGTTAATAATTTAATAACAATAATGAACTTAAAACCACATTAAACATGACACTCGGGCAGAAATCTACACTGTGTAATATAAATCGGTATATGTCAGTGGACCAGAGCCTGTTCTTTTGAGAGGCTTTTCTCCCTGGGAAAGGGACACCTTCTCCCAACTCAGGGGCCACTTTTGTTCCTTTGCAATCACTGGGATTGGGGCTGTGGGATTTCCCAGCTCGGGTGGGGTTTCTTGCTATTAAAATAAACAACAAACAGTTGATCTCGGAGAGAGGGAGAGGGGTGGGGCGGGGGTGGAGGGAAGGGAGGGAGAGAGGGGAGAGTGAGAGAGGTGGGTGGGTGGGAGGGGAGTGGGAGGTGGGTGGGGGAGAGTGAGAGAGGTGGGTGGGGGAGAGGGGAGAGTGAGAGAGGTGGTGGGTGGGGGGGAGTGAGAGAGGTGGGTGGGTGGGTGGGGGAGAGTGAGAGAGGTGGGTGGGGGAGAGGGGAGAGTGAGAGAGGTGGGTGGGTGGGGGGGGGGAGTGAGAGAGGTGGGTGGGGGGGGGGAGAGTGAGAGAGGTGGGTGGGTGGGGGAGAGTGAGAGGTGGGTGGGGGGGGAGAGGGGAGAGTGAGAGAGGTGGGTGGGTGGGGGAGAGGGAGAGGTGGGTGGGTGGGGAGAGGGGAGAGGTGGGTGGGTGGGGAGAGGAGAGAGGTGGGTGGGTGGGGAGAGGGAGAGTGAGAGAGGTGGGTGGGTGGGGGAGAGTGAGAGAGGTGGGTGGGTGGGGGAGAGTGAGAGAGGTGGGTGGGTGGGGGAGAGGGGAGAGTGAGAGAGGTGGGTGGGTGGGGGAGAGTGAGAGAGGTGGGTGGGTGGGGGAGAGGGGAGAGTGAGAGAGGTGGGTGGGTGGGGGAGAGGGGAGGAGTGGGAAGGGAAAAAGGCGTGAGAGAGAGTCTGCTGAGATCTGCTAAAAGTTTGCAGCGCTCCTCATTGCCCGGGAGCTGTGTCTGTCTGTCTGTCACATGATAAAGAAGGTTAAACTAACAGTCAACTCGCGCGTCGGGAGCTCAGAGCTCAGGAGAAGCTCAGAGAGAGAGAGAGAGATCCTGTCTGTGGAGAGATTCACACAGAGAGACAGAAAGGGAGAAAACAGACAGACACAGAGAGAGAGAGAGAGAGAGAAAGAAGGAGAAAGCAGAGAAGAGAGAGAGAGAGAGGAATCCCGGCTGTGGGGAGATTTAAGAGAGAGAGAGAAAGAGAAATCGCGACTGTGGAAAGATCAGACAGACAGAGAGAGGAAAAGAGAGATAAGTGAGAGAGAGAAAAGGTCTGATATCTTGGCTCTGGAGATCAGGCTCCCTCTCTCCCTGTCTCCCTGTCTCCCTCCCCGTCTCCCTCTCTCCCCGTCTCCCTCTCTCCCCGTCTCCCTCCCTCCCTGTCTCTCTCCCTCCCTGTCTCCCTCTCTCCCTGTCTCTCTCTCCCTCCCTCCCTCTCTCTCTCCCTCCCTCCCTCTCCTCCCTCCCTCTCCCCTCTCCCTCCCTGTCTCCTCTCCCTGTCTCTCTCTCCCTCCTTCCTTCTCTCTCCCTCCCTCCCTCTCTCCCTCCCTCCCTCTCTCTCTCCCTCCCTCTCTCTCTCTCCCTCCCTGTCTCCCTCTCTCCCTCCCTGTCTCTCTCTCCCTCCCTGTCTCCCTCCCTCCCTCCCTCCCTCTCTCCCTCCCTGTCTCTCTCCCTCCCTCCCCCCCTCCCTCTCTCCCTCCCCCCCTCTCTCCCTCCCTGGGATGGACACGGAGCAGTGTAAGATCACGGTGTGGCTTTGCCAAGAGGAGAAGGTGGTCTCCGGTCTCTCCAAACGCACCAGCTGCGCCGATGTGGTCAGAGCGTTGGTGCTGGACCAGGAGAGGAGTGACCAGGAGGAGGAGGAGGAGGAGGGTGGGGATGGAGAGGAGAGAGACAGCGCTATGCTCTCGGGGTCTCTGGATTCCTACTGTATCGTGGAGAAGTGGAGAGGCTTTGAGAGAACTTTGCCCAACAAAACCAAACTGCTGCGGCTCTGGGCGGCCTGGGGCGAGGAGCGGGACAATGTCACCTTCGTGTTGGTGAGGAGCGAGGCGTCTCTGGCCAACAGCGGGGCCCGCAGCGCTCAGGCACGGGTGGTCCTGAGCCGGGAGACCCCCTGTGCCCACAGGGGCAGTGGCAGTGGCAGGGCCAGGCTGACCCTGGCCGCTCTGCCCCGGGACAAACAGCGCAGGATCGTCCGCAAAGCGTTCAGGAAACTGGCGAAGATCAACCGCAAGCGCCGGGGGGGGAGGGACAGCGGCGGCGGCAAGGAGGAGGCTGTGGGGCGCATGGAGACCCTGGTGCACCTGGTCTTATCTCAAGATCACACCCTCCGCCAACAGCTGCAGAGACTCCGGGAGCTGGACAGGGAGATAGACAGGTACCAGGTCAAGGTCCACCTGGACAGGATGCAGAGACATGGCGTCAACTATGTGCAGGACACGTACCTGGTGGACGGGGCGGGAGAGGAGGAGAACCCGAACCCCAGCCCTCACCCCAGCCCTAACCCCAGCCCTAACCCCAGCTCCAGCCCTAACCCTACCCCGGGAGCCGAGGCTGTGACGAGGGGCCGTGAGCAGGTGCAGAAGCTCCAGGACCAGTTGTCCCGTCAGGAGGAGCTGATAGAAAGAACCAGTCTGGAGATCCAGGAGGAACTGAACAGGCGGTGGATGAAGCGGCGCCGAGAGGGACCGGATTGGGACAGTCATCAACCCGGGGAGCAGCGAGACCCCGAGGCCCAGGTATCTCTGTCCCTCGAGAGGCTTCAAACCCAACTGGACACCAGTTTGTACATTGGTCTCCGGCTCAACACGGACTTGGAGAACATCAGGAAGCAGCTGTCTGACAGTCAGGGCTTGTGTGAGGACAAGGAGAGAGAACTGCAGAGTTTGGCCATGGAGGTCGCCGGCTCTCTGACCATCCAGGAGCCTCGACACAGACTGGAGCCCCTTCAGGGTGAGGAGGTCAGAGCTGGTGACCCTGGGGTGGCTGAGAGCAACACCGCCGGTTGGGGAGAGGCACTTACTCTGTCCAAGACCTGCCTGGACATCAACGAGGATGAGGACTCTGACACTGGGCTGAGCTCAATGCACAGTCAGGACTCCGACAATGTCCCGGTCTGTGAGTCCCTGGTGTAGGGAGGGAGGGGGGGAGGGGGGGAGGGGGTGGAATGGGTTGGGTTGGAGAAAGGGTTAAAGAAATCCAACGAACTGTTCAGGACAGGACACAAGCACCATCTCAGGGCAATAAGGAATGAAGAAAACAAGGGAGAGGAGGGGGGGATTTTTGTAACAACCAACCCACCTCCCACTCACCCACCCACTTCTGTAATGGACAAATAACCAGGATAAAATGCAACCCCCAATTCCCAGAGGGACCAGCACTGGTTTCTATACATTGTAACGTGGTCCACAAATAAATCAGTGCTTTTTCAACTCTGCCTTTTGTTGGTCGATGAGAGGAAACTAAAAGCGTTTTGATAGAAGCATTTGTGCCTTTAGTTTGACTGTTTGGGTCTTGGAGATGTTAAATGGTGACCCTGCCTGAGATCTGGTACCCATCTCTCTCTCTCTCGCTCTCTGGCTCTCACACACACACAAAACCCCTCATCAATTCTATTACTACTAATAATAATCCTTGCATTTGATACAGCGCCTGATCACTTCGTCGAGACATCTCAAAGCCCTTCACAGGATACACTGTAAAGTGAATCGACGTATTTTGTGGGCGAAACGCGGCAGCCAATTCTCCACGGCAGCGAGTGTCCCACACACACACACACACGGGGGTGGTTTGATCGACCACATTGTTATCATTTATTTTGAAGAGTTTATTCTTATCATTTATTAAAATCACTATTATTATTATTATGGTTCATTTGAATCAGACAGCAACAATAGAGAGCGAGAGAGAGAGAGATGCCACTTTGAGGAGTGTTACCGTTATCCTCTGGAGTATTAACCGCATCATCCATCTTCCAATTATACAATTACACAGGTCCCAAGGGCTCAGCGCACAGCACGCGAGCCCTGGGCCTGGGTTATTTGATCAGTGATGGGATCACAAATCCCTGTTAACACGAGAATCGTACCTTTCATCATACATGTCGTCGAGAGAGAGAGAGAGAGAGAAGCAGGCGATTGATTGCGTGACAGGCTTCCCCGGCCCTATCTCTCTCGACAATGCTGTGTGTATGTCAACAGGGACCCAGAGCCACAGCTGCTTGGGAGCATTGGCGTGCGATGGCGGTTCAAAGGGACCGTGGTGGGCGAGGGAGAGGGGGAGGCGGTTTGGGGGCACAGGTGGCATTAGTTCTACCCGAGAGCGATTGGATACAGCAGGAAGAACCAAGACATACACATAAACACACACACATACACCCACACATAGTCACACACACACACACAGACACATAGACACACACACATAGATACACACAGAGAGACACATAGACACACAGATACATAGGCAAGGCAAGACTTCTGGGGATTTTCATAAGTGGTAGTTTGCACTTGAGAGGGCAGGTTGGTTCAGATGCACGCAATGTAGCTCTGTCTGTCTGCCTGCCTTGCCTACCTGTCTGTCTGTCTGCCTGCCTTGCCTACCTACCTGTCTGCCTGCCTGGCTTCCTGCCTGGCAACTATTGCCCCACACCACACGGCTTGCATTCACTTGTTTACTTCAGTTCTACAGCTCGCCATGGACTATCACATTGTTCTCAGGCGACTTAGTTTGGCCAACAATGCAGTCCACCCTCTTTTTGTGCCTTTTAAAGGGGATGGTGGGGGGGGGGTAGGAGGGGGCAGGGTGTGGGTAGTGGGGATGGAGGGTGGGGAGAGAGACTCCAAAAGACATGTTATACGTGTTCTCTGCTATTAGGAAATTCACACGTCTGGATAAAAAGAAACACACCTGTAGGGAACGCACAACAATAAGTCAATCAGCATCTGAAAAAGGACAGGTGGGTCTTAAAGTCTGTAAATTCACACTTCCAAAATGGTTATCCAGTTTTGTATTCCAGATACTGTCATTTACCTCCTCTCCCCTCCTTTCAAACAACATTTATTTATAAGAATTTGTTTTATTCCAGAGCAGTCATTCATGGTTTACTTCATCAACTATTTTGAACACCATAATTAACTCATCTCTAAACATCCACAGCTCCAGGGCTTGTGGTGCAGTTTCTTGTAATTTTTCTTTAAAATAAAATGCTGCTTATTTGGCACTAATCATAAAAAAAAGTGCAAGGCAGTCACAGGCGATCTATCATTCTCGCAACCCTTCATCGTTTAATCAAGTTGTTGCAAGTATATACAGAAACAGATTCATATAAATTATGAAAAGAGAAGGGAAGGGAGTTTCTCTCTCTCCTGGAATCCCCACTGCTGTGTGCAACTGACTGCTGCACTTCACCCACAAAATACAGTCACTGCACTTTACAGTATATCCTGTGAAGCACTTTGCACCTGTGCTTGGTTTATCAAATAGTCCCATTGCCTCAAAAAACAACAAAGAACGAGAATTATAAGACAGAGAATTTGAGAAGTCCGCTCTACTGCTGGAAGCAATTAGCTCTGCTGTTTGAACGAGGGTTAAATGGTGGCAAAGAAGGGGGAGGAAATGAAACAACAGAACGATACATTACCCTGGTCACTTCTGCCCATCTCCAAGGCTGCAGATTGGCAATAATTAGCACCAGGTTGAAAAGAAAATCACATAATGCCCTTCTAATCTCATCTGGGATCAGAGTCCAGGTTGAAGCATGTGAAAATTGTCTTTTCTGCATGAAATGCTCGATTGCATGAATTTGAAATTTATCAATTCATTTGTCAATAATCGCTGCGTGGCTTCCTTCTAATTTCCACAATATTTCAAATCAATTTCAACAAACAAACTTTTAAATGCTTTTAAAACACACATACACACACACCCACACCCACACAGAAAGCTAAAGCACGATATAAAACAGCTGACAGGTAACTATCCTGTTCTGTATTTCTACGTTCTGAAAACCTTTGATTTTTTTTGACCAAACTGAATGCAAGTACTATATTTATACAACAAGATACAATCTGCTCACAAACTTTTCCATCCAAAAGTCTCTCCGGGAGGTACTGTTTAACCTACAAGATCCTCCACATCCCATCGTTTCCTGTTTAGGCTGTTCAAGATTATTCATGGCCACTTCAAAAATATATATATATTTATATTGCAAAAAGTACTTCTTTTTATGAAGCAGGCACAAATAATATCTTTCCATCTTAACTACTTTTTCTAGCAACCTCAGAGATTAAAGTGAAAGCTTTCTTATCTTTTTGTCTTATAAAACACAGATGACCATCACCCTCCCCTCACCCACCTTTTGCTAATAGAAAATCTGTTTTGCCGCAATAAAAGGTCACTGTTATCAGCAAAGCCATTACTGACAGACTGCCTAATGAAACAGAAAAACAAACAGTTGCTATTCCCGAAACACTGTGTGCAATGCAGGTAATGTGCACATTGCCAGACACCAGGCTGATGAGCCAGGCATTGTGCTCTGACCTGTACTTCGTTCAAATTGTATTCTGTGGTTCTGCTGATTGTAAGGCTGACATGAGACTGACAGAGGGCACGGCTCAAAATGGGTTTCTGCAGCTCTACTCCCATCATAGTTTTTTTTAAAAAAGTGGGATTTACATCCTGCAAGTGCAGACAGAAATAATTTACAGCTAAAATCATTCACCACAAGATCCCGTCTTTAACAAAGAAAACTGTTTTTAAGAGATAATAATCTACAAACATCGAGGAGAAGCACTCTATCTAACTCATGTCATTACGGTTAGTTTGTTCAATCGATATCCACTTGGATTGTCTTGAGAGAGGCCCATATCACACAGGACATTTACAGCAGCATCAATCCGGTCTGCGATTAATCCCAGAGATTATGTGCTAACATCCAGTCCCCAGTGCTTCCTGTAATACAGTAGACATGCAGTCGATTAATGCCTAATTAGTGCCTCGCCTTCATTAACGAGGTTAATAATTTGATCACCATCAGTTTCAAATGTAGTGAGCTGCCATGATTACTGCGGCAGCCACAAGGTGAAGTTCAACTGGAGTTAGTTTGAAAATATTCTGTCAATGAAATGCTGACAACAGCTCCTGTTTTATTGCTCTGAAAGGCAAACACTATGTCCCTTCTGGGCTGAGCAATGGAGGTTAGGAGGTCATTATATTATTGCTGCAGGGAGGGACAATTCTTTTCAATTATGTGGCAGCGAAATGGGACAGTGGGATTTTTATTCCACTGCAAATGTGAGTTTCAATATGAGTGTGGTGTATTGATCTTGCAATAGTTGATCCGAAGGTACAAACCTCAAGTAATCTTCTTTCATTCTAGCAAGAGTTGTGGCTCTGACTGGTGGAACAGTACACAATGCTGTTATCCTAGTAGCTTCCTCTATTCTAGGAGAAGCAAATGTATGTACAGTATGGCAATGAAACACTATATGCTTGCGATTGTTAATCTGCATCAACCACCTTAACTGTATGTCTGAAATTTGCACCATATAATTTCCTCTTCTATTGGTGAAGTCGGCACAAACAATATCCTTCCATTTTAAGTACTTTTTGCAACAATGCCAGAGATTAAAGTGAAAGCTTTCTTGACTTTTTGTCTTTAAAAAAAAGATAACAAAGACAGAATTGTTTGCTTGCAAACCTAGAAATAAAAAGTAACATGCAAAATACAAAAAGGATTGTAGCATCCTGTGGTTTGTAGCTGGTTTATAGCTTTCATGGAGATACATCACTGAAGCAGAGAAATGTGTATATCTTGGGGTCTGATTATATCGTTACCTCTAACTAACGTGGAAACGGGTCATTTCACATTGTGTCACTTGCAATAACATGTTGAGATATAGGGAATAGGGGATCCAGCCTTATTTGTCCCTTGGGTCCTGCAATTACCAGGGACCTAGCTCCAAAGCAGAGCTTTTAGATGTTTCAGAAGCACTTTACATCTCTAGCTCTGGCGCACTGGGATTGTTTAACATCGCTGCTTTGCATCCCAGCTGCTTTGCTGGTGAGTTTTCCAGCAGCACAGTCAGGGATTAATGCCAGACGTGGAATTTACTGAAGAGACGATAGGTGTTGGGAGAGAAAACAAAATCCAAAAGCTACCAAGGTAAAATAATCCTTTGGTTCTGTGTCAAAGTTGATGAGCCAGAATACTGTGTATTGGGATGGCTTCGATAGGTACCATTTCATGGCTCAGTGGAAGAGCAAAGGCAAAGATAAGAGGATACACTCTTTCTCAGTGAGAGAGAGAGGATAGATCTGAGGGCAAGTTAACCTGATCTCAACGGGTGTCACATAGCTCCTAGCAACCAAGTACATCGTTGTATTGGCAGGTCACCTAGTCACCCGCTCAACCAAGGCACAATGGGTGGCCAGCGGGGAAAGGGGAAATCTCAAAGATGTGTCTCATAATAATAAGTAAAAATGCTTAAGACTGACACGGACCCAAACCATATCAACTCACTGCCTTCAATACTGCAGACATTTTATAAAAATGAGTATCAGCATTTATTAAAGAAAGCTTTTTTTGTTTTCTGAAAACTTTTGAGGCAGTTCACTTCAGAATGGGGAGATGATGTACCATCAGCTGAAACAAAGGTTCATTTCTTATCTTGGTATAGAACTGGCAAACCTTCAAGCTGGCTTCAGAAAATGGGCCAGATCCTAAAACCTAATCTAAAGTATGTTCACTAGAACATTGCACTAAGGATTCCTGGCTCTGACTAATGAGCTAATAATGTTGATAATGGGTTACACTGAGAGAAAGGGCTTTTGAACAATGGGTAAGTATTCTTTTGGGGGGAAATAAAACGTTGCTTGAATTATTCTGATTCTATGTTTGTGCGTTATACTCTGCAGCTGTCCTGTGGCTAATGCTATATATTCCCAAGGCTCTGGCCAAGTGGTGACCCTTAAAATAGGTTGGCTCAGACAGAAAGGGGTGTTCTCCTTCCCCTGGAGATATCTCTGCTTTAACTTGGCACCTGCCCCAGACAAGCCCTGCTGAGATCAGCCACTCGCTGCGTCGCTAATCACAGTGCAGCAAAGCCAAGCTGTGAGCGACATAGATCAGCAAGCCACTTAGTACCTTCACTCGCCATTTTAATTGCTACACAGTTGTAATTAAAGCCCAGTGATAATTCTCAATAGACATTCTCTTCTAACGTTTACAACATGGATTGCAGAGCGAGGGTTTGAACATAGAACCAAATATTTTCACCGACTTTTGAAACACAGCAATGCTTTGGCGATAAACAGAACAATGTTATCCATTCAGATAACCCTTCTGAATATAAATAGGGCTGGAAAAAGAATACTTGAACTTGGGACATACGTCAAACCTTGAAAGCCACGTTCAAAGAATTTTTATAATATCATGTGATGCATAGATTAAGCAACTGCACTATCATTGAGTCGAGTCCAAGTTTGCATTTAGCTGGTCTGTCAGCCCATTTTCTTTCCTTCAGGTGAGACGTTAAACTGAGGTGCCACTGCTCAGGTGGAGGTTACAGAACCTCATGGCAACATTCAAAAAGAGAAGGGAGTCTCTCTATCCCGGTGTCTTGGCCAACAATCCCCCAAAATAAAATTGGTCACTCACCTCATGGCTGTTTGTGGGACATCGCTGTGTGCAAATTGTTTTGCCCACAAATACACAGTCACTCCACTTCACAGTAAATCCTGCTTTGGGACGTCCTCCTGACGTGAAAGGTGCCGTACCAAATGCAAGGATTATTATTATTTTAATATTAATAATAATAATAATAATAATTGAAGGCAGGTTGCAGCTGAGAGCAAGTTCTCTCACTTGTAATTTGAGGGAAGGATATGGGTCATATTCAGAGTGACAAACAGATACAGAGTTGCACAATTAAATAAGGTCTGTACCAAATTACTAAATTATTAGAGTTATTAGTGCTGTGCCTGTCCATATTTTCTAACTTAACTTCCCATGAACGAAATTTTCAAAGTGGTAGAGGTGTTTGGGAGAAAACACATCAAGACGCAAGAGTTATCCACCTTATGTAAAATGAAAGTAGTGCAGGCATAGTTATTAATTGATCACGTTTAATCTCCATGTAGGATTCTAATTAAAAATATGTTGTACAGTGCCTTTGCTACCATCCGAACAAGTTACATCAATTATTCTCTGTTAGTACATTGGATCTTTTATAAATAAATGAGTTAATTCTTGGGGTCAATCAGTTTCTACAAATAAGTGAATAATAATTATTGCATTACGATAATAGTAATAATCTCACTGAATAAAACTAAACATAGCTATTGTTACATTTTATTTCTAAAAATGTTCAAATGTCATTAATTATGATTACCTAAAGTACTAGTGAGTGCATTTTTTATTCTAAGGTAGTTTATTTTTTAAATATACTATCACAATCGATCAGATTTAAAAGTAGAGACTTCTTTTTAAAAAAATACATTCGGAGGTTTATACATTAGCAAGTTTATAGCTTAGAGCCTGAGCGATTAGCATCCGTGTGGATCACCTGCAGGGATGGCAAAGGTTCTTCTGTTACTTTGTCCTTCAATGTCCTGAACTTTTTCATTGCGTTCTCTCTCGCTTGCAGGGCGTTCCGTAGGTAGGTAGTCCTGTGTTAATTTTTTGTAAAACAAAACAAAAGACTCAGTTTCACTGTTTGTTTTTAAATATACTGTCACAATTGATCAGATTAAAAATAAATACATTCGGAGCAAGTTAGACGTGCGCAATTGGCTGCTGCGTTTCTCCCACAAAATACACAGTCAATTTGAGAGCTTTGAGACGTCTCGAAGACATGATGAGGTGCTACTTCAAATGCAAGGATTATTGTTATTTATTTGTAACCTAGTATTTGAATGGTTATTGAACGTTTCCCAATGAACAAGTTACTAGTCTTTCAGTGATAGCTTTACAATCGTTTTCCAGTATGAATTGTTCATGTTTTACATCAAAGAGATTCTGCTGCTTGTCCAGCTTGAATTGTGAGTCAAGTGCTCCGAGACACTGTCCCGCACGAAGAGCGCTATACAAATGAAAATTGTTGTTGTTATGTCTATTCGAACAGACATATTATGTACTTGTTTAATGTATAATCTAAAGGACAGCACCTTGAACAATACAGTGCGACCACAGTATAACAATGAATTTGTCAGTTACAACCTTCTGACTCCGAGGCCAAGGAAATGACCAACTGAGCCAAAGCCATGATATTTATTTGGGAAAAATGACAATACATCTCAGGGTTATTGAGGGTTAAGGTGAGCCAGCGTGCAGTAAGATCAACAGGACAGGTTATCTCCTGGGACAAGTGAAACGTGATAGTTCTCAGGACTGTTGGAATGCTAAAACATTGTGTAAAAAAAACCCACATGAGCGCTATTACTGTTTTACATTGAGAACCTCCTTGGAATGTTGTCTGTGAGAGCCACTGTTCACTTGTCAATGGCTTCATTTCATAACAATGGGTCCGTGACACGAGATACTTTTTTCAAACAAACGTGAGATCTCTCCTTATTAAAAACCAACACAAACACATCCAAAAATTAATATCAATCTGTTGGGCATCTCATTCCTACCCAAACAGAGAACATGACGATATTTCAGGTCAAATAATAACAATAATAATAATAATAATCCTTGCATTTGATATAGCACTTTTCACATCTTCTAGAAGTCTCAAAGCGCTTCACAGAATAGACTGTAAAGTGAATTGACTGTATATTTGTAGGTGAAACACGGCAGCCAATTGCGCACAGCAGCGTCTCACAAACAGTCGGGGATTGAAGTGACCAATTTATTATTGTTTTTTTTCTTGAGGGATTATTATGTTATGTTATGTTGAGGGGGAGAGTGGTTTCTCTACACACTATGTGTAAACCATATATAAAATACAGTAAACATTCTTGAAGATTTGATTGCTGTTTAAAGGGTGGAGTTGAGAGCTTATCTTATCACAGTTCCTAATTGTGACCTCTTCTATTTTGCTCAAGAACACTGAAGGTACCAACAAATTGTTGGGACAACTCTAATTCTTTGTTCCAGTGAAACCTGGAACATCTGGCCTGAATGTCCCAGTTAATTTAAGTGGTGACTGCTACGGATAACACTGGATGAGCTAGTGATGGATGGTGGTGGAATGCATTTTTAATTTCCTTTCCTCATAAAATGAGGAAGCCAATCATCAATCCAATTGCCTCTTTGGATGCCTTTTTGATTCAAAGGAGAATACAAGATAGGGAGAGATGGTATTTGACATTGGGATGGCCAGATGGAGTGTGCAAATCTTTTTAAGTCTTTCATATTCATAGTTCCTCCATTAAATCTCTTTGCACAATTTACTAATTTAGCACAAAGACAGTCTATAATATTATCATGATATCAAATTGGTTCCCACTGTACAGGCATTGCTTTCATTACTTTTTAATCTGTATCTTGTTGATTTCTGTACAACAGGGGAAATAGCAATTTGAGGAAGTCTCTCTTTGTTTTATATAGCGTACAAACGTCAATAACTAATTATAGAAACAATGTACTTCCCAGAAAATAATCTACAGTGAAAATGTGTCATGGATAAACAAATAATAAAACAATAAAGTATTGCTTGAAAATCTTTTGCACATCAGATGTTTCCTTTTGTTTCCTTTTCACACTTTAGTTGACTTTACAGTTGTAAATATAAAGGATCAGAATCATTAAAAAATAATAATGATCCTTGCAATTCATATAACGCCTTTCACGTCAGTAGGACATCTCAAAATGCTTCACAGGACCATAATGAAAAGTGTAGTGACTTCAGCCAATTTGTAACACAGCAATGTCCAGAAAAAGCCAAAGAAGTGAGTGATGAATATTACTTGGGGGGGATTGTTGGTCAGGGCAAAGGTTGAAGAGACATTGTTAAACAAACCTATTTTCTCTTTCAATCACTGTCCCCTAAAACAGCCCGATGTGTTCAGATATGTGGAGTTTTACATGGAGATTAATTCTCAAATATGAACTCTTGCATTTCAACTCCTGAAACATTTGTCCAACCTCTCGCTCTATCTTTATGTCCTTCATGGACAATAGAATCTGGCTGGCAACAATACAGTAAACTTTTAAAAGATAAAATCGAAAAGTATGCACCACTTATTATAAAAATAAGACTCGCGCCCTAATTCAGTTTCTCCTGCATCATACTAAATCTTTCAACAAAGCATTCCCGGACAGTATAATAATCCGTGCATTTGATATAGTGCCTTATCACGTCTTCGAGGAGTCTCGAAGCTCTTCACAGCTATACTGTAAAGTGAATTGACGAATACTTCTAAATGGCAATATCTAAGCCACTGGAGAACCTATGAAAACCATGTGGGCTAAATTGCTTTCTGAGATCTATTATGCACTATGTATAAACCATCTGCAAACGCAACTGTTATGTGCATGTGTAAACTCATGTACAGAGGGAATTACAGGCCCCTTAATTATGCAATTAACAGCCAGCTAAAGCATTGGTTGCTCATTATATAATTAAGGGGACTTATGATTCCCTCTGTACATGAGTTTACACATAGTGTATAATAGCCCCATATCTCTCGCTTTCCTTGTGGGGTAGCATGTTACCCCCATCTCTCCGCATCTCGTTGTTCTGTAAGCTTTATAAAGGTATCCTATCGTTCAATTATTCAATTATGTTTGGAAAGAAACATTGGTGAATTTTAATCTCCGACACAACAAACTTACTTGCAGAAAAACTACTTCTTTCATATAAAAACTAAAAAGGAGGCAAAAGGTTAGTTCAGTATAATAAGAATGGGCCCAGTCACAAATATTGTAGCACATTAATTTTAAGGGTACTACACAGAAATTCAAAAGAAGCACATTTACATTTTAAGGAATAGTTTCTGATCTGTATCTTAGCCAAGTCTAAATACAACCAAATGCAGATCCACGGGATTTTAAAATCTAATTTCGCTGCTTGGCATCCTCCTCTCTGTGGCTTCTGTCCAGTTTCACTACATCTGCTCAGTTTGTAGGCAACAGGGCAGAACAATACAACTAACAGAAAGCTGGTCTCCTTTTTGAGTTGGGGGTGGGTGGGGGGGAATCACTCAGGGACATAATGAAAATGGATCACAGACTCTGAATACCTTGTGATGACTAAAAAAAAACCTTTTTTAAAGCCCAGAACAGATCTTGCATTGTTCCTTGGCTTGGTGGTTGTTCATAACTTGTCCACGGTCTTTTATTCCTGCCTGAAACTGTAATGATCATCTGTAATCTGACCACCTGACATGGCACAGGGACAAGATGGTGGTGAATAGTCAGGAGGTGGGAGGTAATTAAAAGCAGACAACCATGCCCTTGATTTATTTCACAAAAATATGTCGGTACACATTGAGCAGTCTCACTGAAAGTACTGAGACACTAACTTGACACTAGATCCCCTCAAACATCACAAAAAGACAGCCATCCTATCTCAAAGCGTATTTCTTCTCCAGGGGACTGAACGAAACAAAACAAAAATCATTTGTCAAGAACAAACAAAAAAGAAACCCATTTTTCCTCCCTTTGGGTACATGGACTGATATGCACACTCACCTACAAATAGAATTTTTGAATGATGTGAATATAGGCAACGCAGATGCAAACTACACAACTTGCTCCATGTATTATTCTTTCTGTGATGTTTTTAAAGCAGCCCAAAACCCCAGTAAGGTCAGCTCAGAGCAGTGCAGCAATCAAAATCATTTACATTGGAGCAGTTGTATATATATTTATAAATATTATATATTTATATATTTATACGCATATATATATTTTAATATACATAAAAAAATACAGTATATTCTGTGAAGCGCTTTGAAACATCTAGAAGACATGAAAAGCGCTATATCAAATGCAAGGATTATTATTAGTATAAATAGTTATTTACTTAAGTTAATACTGAAATCCGTCTTGTGGAGACATATTCTCCATTAATTGGCTCACAGTGTCTGTGAAATGTTGTACTGTCCAATACAACTTGAACAATTGACAAATGTGCATCGATTTCTTTGAATTCAATTTCAGACGTCTACTACTAAAATAGCTTAGGACAATTTTAGACACTTGTCCTTCTTGATCCGACATTTAACAAGTACTTTTTGTGCACGTGAAGGTCTCCAGTCAGAACAGACGCTCTTGGTTGGTAATGTAAAGAGAAAGAAGGTTCAACATTACAGGTATGTCCTTAATCAGTACCTGGGAAAGGCCAGAGCTGATAATGTTAACCTCTTTTTCTGGTTTACATGCTGACTGACCCACTGACTAACCAACTAACCACAATCCTTGCTTCTTAACATCTGCAATATTTTATGTCAACACAATTCCTTTAGGACTAAGTAGCCTTACAATATCGATATATGCTGTACTAATATTTTCTGTAACTCCTAATTATACTGCAGCCTTATAATGTGCAGTGCTACTCCATGTATCACAGTACTAACACTGTTCTATATACTCCCAACATTGGTCTATAGTTCCTTACTAAAGAGACCACACAGAAACTGTCCACAACAGTTTATGCAGAGTTCCCAGAGGTTAGACACGGTGGCTTTTAGAAAGAACTTGCATTAATAAATAGTACCTG